AGAAAACAACAACAATAACACTACGGAACGCAGTGCAAATGCCTGTGTCAATGAAGTAAATATACCAACAGTTCTTTCCCCCTAGAATGCGAGTTCTGGCCATGTGTAGATTTCACCATATAAATCAATGTGTAATTGCAGCCGCGGTCTGACCTCAGAGATTCTCATACAAACCTGCCATGTAGACGGTCGCAATACAGGCAAAAATCGAAAAAAAGTTCTAAAAAAAATGTTTTCAGATTCTAATAGAGTAATTTGTGTGCACCGTTGGTATTATCGGCACATTGAAATTCGCGCTCCTTACCACTTAATTTTCACTCCGAAATCAAGTCACAACCAAAACCACCATTTGGATTAGTCATCATTCCAATGGACTTGGAAGTGTATCGTACATTTTTGTTTCAATTAAAGTGAAACACGATTTCTAGAGTCAACAGATATTTCGCGATTCACTTTCAAGCGAACGGAATCCATGTTGCACTCTGGAAAACAAGAATATTGTGATAACGATGATGATAAGTGTTATTAAAGAATGTTTTAAAAAAAAAACCACAATGGACTCAGTTTGAAACTAATTTTATTCATATATAATTTTTCAAACGATTTGAAATAGTTTTTTTAGTGAACAACAATTTTAATTGATAGTTTTCCTGCGGATAAGATAGTTTGAAATATTTTTATTTAAGCAAATAATTGAATAACCCGTTGAGACCGGTTGTCATCAAATAAATAAAATGGAATATAGTATTACAAATTAAACAACAATTTTCCTTTTAATTTTATTGTCCTATGCTTGTTTCAACGCGTATTTTATGACGAGCCAGTATTTCATACTGAGACATTGTTTTGAGCCGGGAAGACAGCTTAAAAAAAATTGTTTTTAACAATGATTTTTTTGTCGCATCAGTTTTGCGCAATGTGTCACACATGCTACTATATTTTTAGCGATTAGATAACTTTTTGTTTGTTTATTTTTTATTTGTGCAATTGATTTTATGCTTTGTTTTATTTTTTTGCGTTTTTTCTGTGAATTGGCTCTCGTTGTTTTTTAAAAAAAGAAGAAAAAAGCACAATTGAATCGAGACTAAATAAATGGCATTTTCATGAATAGCATTTTGTTTGGATCAATAAAAATCTTGCAAGCAACAATATCGATTTGAATTGATCGTTTATGAAATTGTCAAGTTTTTCCATCTAAAAATTTCATTGAAACAATATGTTTTTCTTCTTCAAGTCAATGTGTTTTTTTTCCTCAAGGTCAACTTAATCGTTATGCGATTTATCAAACCAAAAGTGTTATGCATAAACATAACTAAAGTACAATTCATGTGTGTGTTTTTCTCAACAATGCCTTTGAAATGAATGACAATTTTTGTGATAAATAAAAATAAAAACAAGTATCAGCATTTTGGATGTAAACCTAAAGATGATAATTCGGTGGGGGTTTATTTACAATCCTGAGCTACCTCCTGAGATGCCAAGCACATACTTGTTGTATGCGGTGTTCATTTGTTCGAGGAAAATGAATGTGAGTACGGTATGTGGTCCCAAGCGACAGAAGTACGGTGTGAAACCCTTCCATAGGGCGAATAATCCTTCTTGACGCACCACTCGTGATAACACATCGACCGTTCCACGGTATTCTGCTTTGCCATCGGTCGAGACTTTCATATTTTGCAGCCGTGTCTTTGCAATATCCACGGGCATCGATGCAACCGTTGTGATGAAGCCAGACATCATACTGGCAACGAAGTGCAATTTAATACCTTCAGTGAAGTATCCACTGCGGACCAAATATTGTTTGGCTTGACTGTATGATGCCAATTGTGCGGCATTGACGACCATCGCTCGGCCCATGGTTGGTATGCAACCGCGCCATAGTGTTAACACACCTTCTTCACGGGTGATACGAGCCAATGCATTAAACACACCCGTATAGTTGCGTCGTTCAGCTATCGGCAAACGACCATCGGCTGTCATTCGAATCAATGCCACCTCAGCAGGTGTGCCGACAAATGCTATGGAAGAAAAATACAAAATTCGATTTAGTATTTGTGCATATGATTGGAATTTGTTTGTGATTTGTTTGTGCCAACGAATCGATTTTTACATCATTCCGATGCAAGATTCAACCAAAGTGGAAATTCAATCGAAATAAAAATAAAAATCAATTAAAGTTTTTACCTCCTGTTGCACCGGCGATTATTCCCATCAACATTGAAGCCAACAGTCCAGGTTGTCCTTCGTATTTACTAATTTTGAAATTGAATAAATAACAAATGAGCGAATATTGAAAGAAAAAAAAATGCTCAAAGAATATGAATTGATCTTACTTTTTGTATGAATCATTAAGACCAGTATAAACACCCAAACGAGTTGTCGTGTATGTGGCTTGACGCATAAAACCAGCTCCAAGCCCTCTATAAATGCCAGTCACGCCTTCGTTTCGTAAAATTTTCGTCAATGCATCGAATGTATTTTTATATTCCTTTTTACCACCGCCAGCACCTTGCAATTGCATACGATTCTTCACCAAATCCAGTGGCTGCACAAACGTCGTTGCACCCATCCTATTTTAGAAAGACATTGAAATTAGCATTTGGATTTTATAAGTGAAATTTAATAATAATTTTGGATATTGAATTTGGATTTTTTTTTATTTCATTCAGCTAGCATTTGGCGGTTTAAACACCGCATGAAATAAAAATCATCAGCTATTCACTATTTGTGAATGTATCAGTATACGATATAAATTAAAATATTCTAAAAATATTCAAAATTTTGCACACAAAAAATTAATAAAATTAATTTTTTCTAGCTAAAAATCATTGTAAGCATTCTACGTTCCATTCCGACAATTTACATTCGATTTCAACATTCCATGTACTCTCTTTGTTCGATATATACGAAAAGACATGTCTCATAGTTGTGAATTGTGATATTTTTACAAAAAAAAAATAACGAAATTGAAATCAGATTTCAAATGAATATATTCATTTGTATTTTCAATCTATTGAAAATGGCCGAGCAAATATTGAAAACAAAGATTGGTGTAATCCAAAATCGGAGATTATCTTCCAAAAATAGATATCAATTTGTTTACATCGCTTCAATATGGATGATTTAGAGTGGTGAAAATAGCTTCAGTGCCGAAAAAATTGGACGGAAAGGTACGAGGTACAAGGAACGATAACATTCGATTGGTCATTTTATACTGATAATTACCGCTAATCGTTGCTAACTACCGAAAATAGATGTGTAACATTTTATCGTGTCTGGACAATATGCGAAGTTGTTTGCACACTAAATATACGGCTTTATGAATAAATAACATTATGTATGGTCTAATTATAAATGGTGTTTTTTTTCAATTGTGAACAAATCACATCAGCGTTCATTCAAAAGGTGAGCATCCCTATCATGAAATTTGATTTGCCAGCAGTAAGAGTGCAATGGAACCGAGCAAAAACCGCGTAAACAACGGTCCACAATTCAAGTTGTTTGTAAATAGGATCGAAAACACGTAGCGTCTGTTTTTTTTTCGTTCATGGTTTGACGTCATTGAAATGTATGAGCGAATGAAGCGCTTGATACTAATCTCAGGTCAGACCTTAGTCAACTGGGGGGTTTATATTTCGACTATCGCCAACGTTTTGATTTTTCATTCATAGAATTTTTTCTACATTTTCCTCTTAACAACAAGTTCAAATTGCTCCGTTGTGACAAATTGGTCTAGAAAATTTTAAATTCGCGCCACTTATTCTACAAATTAAAGCTCCAGAATTCCACGTTATTTTCTTCTTCTGATAAATTGATGGAAAAATGAAACTTACCCAGCTAAACCGCCGAACAGGTACTTAATGTATGCCGGTTTCTTTTGTTCAGTTGCCATCTTCAGTTTCTTATGAAATATTCAATTCAGGCGGGTTTAAATTGGACACTGGTTAATGATTAATCTGTAAATAATGGATCAAAATTACTGTTTTGTTTATTGTAGATGACTTGAAATTCAATCTGGTTGAACAATTATGCAAGGCACGTTGTATATCAATCACGCGACAGTTGAAATATGTATGGAATTTTCTTTGTTCCTTTTGCTGACGATGGCAGTGAAAATCGCGAAAAATCGTTGAATAACAACAAAGAAAGCGAAAAAAGAAGCCGTAATTTGGAAAGTTGATTGGCAGCCGAACAACACTTGTACTCACCGTCTCGTCAACAGTACGTGCAAGACTAAGTAAATTGAATGTCGTCAATTTTCAAGAGCAAACAAAATATCTTATAACCACGTAAATCGCTCTTTTCCGCCTTTACACTCGTATATGTTTGATCGTATTGTGATAGATGCGCGCGCGCTTCCTCTTTTGCTCTCTATCATTTTTCCGTTTTTATATTTTCATCGGAGATTTCATGTGATTTTTTTTCGCTACTGGGCATTCATATGCGATATGATATGACATTGTTGTAATTAATATTAGATGAAAAAAGGCGCTGTATATGCTATGTGATTCAATCGTGTGAAAGTGTATTAGTTGCGAGATCTATCTCTCTTCACACTTCGCATCGCTTCGTTTCGTCACACGATTTTGTTTATGTATAAATTGAACTTGATACTTTTTTTTGACTGAAAATTGTTTCAGAAAATTCACTGACATACTACGGCTGGCTATTGGGGCTGCAACACTTTGGCTCCGTATTTTCACTGTACTTTTTTTTCATCAACTAGAATTGATGTTATGCTTTGGATTTTTATCAGATACATGGAGATTAAAATAAAAAAAAACTTACAAATAATTCGAGTCGAGACTTATATGGCTCTCATATGAATTCTATGAATGTGGAATGTGATTAATTAATGGAATGTTTGTTGCGACGAATATAATCGGCGTTTATTTATACGTTCCGTCGATTAGTCGAATATATCATATGATAAAAAAGAAACTGTGAGATAGACATCGAAAGGTGGAATTGACTTTGACAGCTGTGTGTTATAGAGAGGGGTGAGATGACACACAGAACAAGTGTTCGTATGCTAAGTGTGGAGAATGAGATGGAAATGTTTGAATTTTGATTTTTTTTTTAAATTAAAATGAAGAAAATTTTAAACGCAAATGATTTATTTTTCATTTCAGAAAAAGTAAAAATTTTCGATTTTCCCACGATATTTCGAATTTGCGTTGCAAATTTATCATTTACACAATTCCGATACATTCGATTTGTGGTGAAAATGAATTTGGTGAGATGAACGAAGGAGAAGGATAGAGGCAAAGCATCGCAATGGAGACAAACGTCAAACGCACGCATTTATTTGACACATTGTTGATAAAAACGAAAAACACGTGAATTCAAAACGATCAACAACGAATATAGCATTCGGTTCAAGTTCATTGAAATTGTGTAGTTTTTGGTTTGTGATATAATTAGATTTTGAATTTGAGAGTTTGAAAGAACGATATCATGTCAGCGGCAGAAGGGAATTCGATTGAAAATACAATGGAAACAAACATTGATAAGACAAACACAGGTCCATCCATTGATCAGTCGGAGGAAAACAAAACACAAGAAATTGCAAATACAATCAAAATTGACTCGACACCAAGTCACAGTTCAAATCAATTCAGTGCCGAATCAATTCCATGTGAAATGGAAGTAATTAAAACATCACCAGAGACGAAATCTGTTGGAATTGAATCTGTGAAACCGACTGAAATGGAAGCAGTGTTTGCAGTAGATTCAAACACAGTGAATGAAGCAGCTACAGAATCAGTGACTGAAACACCTACAGAGCCTGTGAGTGAAGCCTCACCGATTGATAATCAACAAAAGAGCAAAGATGAAGAAGTGCAACAGACAACAGAAATGGACTCTCAAAAAGGTCCAGTCGATGGAATTCAACAACAGGAAATTGTCGATGAAAAATCGACCTCAATCAACAAAGAAACAGGTGAAAATGTTACGAATATGGAAACTCAAGATTCAGAAAGCAAATCAAAGGCAGCAACATCAAAAGCCAACAAGTCGATTGGATCATTGGGGTTGCTGAACCAATATAACTCGTCATCGGATGAGAATGAAGACAGCTCTAGTAGCGATGATGACGGAGCCAGTGCAGACAGCGAAAGTGAATCCGATGACACAGACGATTCAAGCAATAATGAAGTTCTAGGAACACCAGCAGTCAACGAAAGCGAACTAAACACATTGGCCAATAATATAATGAACAACGTGATGTCAAGGCAAAACTATCGCGAAGCATCATCCGATTCGTGAGTATCAATTTGGAAAATTGATCGAATTCAAACAATCTAAAACAATTGTGGGAAATTTAATGAAATTCCTTCATTTTTCAGATCGTATACCGATGATTCCGATGTTGAGTGCATTGGCACCATTCCAGCCCAAACAATTGACATGACAAATGACGAAGAGATTCAGGCATTTCTTGAGTCATGTGAAGAAAACACACAGGGACCAATGAAAACAAAAGGTGAATTGGGTATGGATGATTTGCCACCGATCGCCGAGCTAACCATTACTGTGCCAGAGTCAGAGTGTGTTGAATTGGGCAACATTTCGGGCATTGTCGATACTTTGGGTAAGTCGATAATCGAGAGATTCCATTTCGTTGCGCTATTTTTCGGCTGTATCATTTGCATTTGAGCTGATTTTTCAAGATAATAATGATTTTTCATGAAAATTCCCGAAACTTGAGCTTCAAATTGTGTCAATGAATCGAATTTACTATAAAAAAGATTATCTTCAGCAAAATAAAGACATTTTATCAAGAAGAAAAAAAACATAAATTAAGTTGAGAATGAAAAAATGTGAATTGCAAACCGTAAAACTTGATTTCAATATATTTAAGAATCTCCTTCCTCTCAATTTTCAGTGCTTGTCGAGTCGAAACCCGGATTTGCTGCCGTCGACATTGACACCGTTCTCTTTCTTGAGAAAGGGAATCGAACGTTGGGTCAGGTCTTTGATGTTATGGGCAATGTGGCATCACCGATTTACTGTGTACGTTTCAACACCACCCAGGACATAACCGCCAAAAATATAACCGTTGGTCTGAAAGTATACGTAGCGCCGCAGACCGAGTACACGAATTTCATTGTGCTATCGAATTTGATGAAGGAAAAAGGCTGTGATGCAAGTTGGGAAAATGACAATGAAGCGCCGGATGGCTGCAATGAATTCTCTGACGATGAAGCAGAGCGTGTAAATCGACGGGCACAAAATCAGCGACAACGAAATAAAAATCGACCATCCGAATCGAGTGACCAATTGCCGAACAAAGTGACAGTAAAATCGGAGCCAAATGTTTCGAATCACAAAAGTAGACGGCCCAAATTCAATCATCGTACAAAACACACCGACAAACCACCGCAACGATTCTACAAAGACAATCGTGGCTATGCAAATCCTGATGCAAGCAATTTCTATCATCCTCATCAGCGAATGCAACCGGCTCACCACAATTACAGTTGGCACACAGCCGCAATGCATGGCATGCCGCCAGCATCAACTAGTTCACAGCCGATGCATTCGTATGCACCGCCGTACGGTCCACCAAATCACGGCCATAGACCTGCTAATGTATATCCAAATCCATTTGCAATGCCACCAAATTACGGCGGTCCATTCAATTTACAAGCATTTCCACCATTACCACCTCCGATCAGCTTAATTCCACCACATCATCAACCGCCACAACTTCATCCGCCACCGTCACAATACAATCGCAAGAAATCCGGCTCATTTCATCACCAACAACAATAAACGCTGAACAAAAGAAATCATTCACTTATTGTGATTGGCATAAGGTTTTTTTTTTGTGCCGGGATCGTGCGTCTTTGCGCGGTACATTGCAAATTACAAATAATTCTCGCTCTACTTGTTTTTTTTTCTCTTTATTTTGCTCGGTTAAATCAAAATCATTTTTATTAATCAGATCATACAAATAAAATCTATTGTACGAAAAACAAACCATTGTAATTTATTCGTCTACTCTATTAGTTATTTAATGTGAACCGAGCTCATGCAACACGAAGAAAGAATGAAGAAAACAGGAGACGGATGTACATCAATAGGGTAATGATCCCCGAATTCGTAACAATTCCCAAAATTAAAATTGAATGTCAGTGTCAAGTTCAAGTGATTTCGATCAACATTGACATCCAGTGATGTATACACTACTATCGAAAACGGGGGGTCGCTCAGAAAGAACAACTAATTCGAAAAAGTGTAAACATATAAAAATTATTTGGAGCGATTCAGTTATATGCACAGGCTTCAGCGTTGATTTTGAACAATTGTATACGACCAAGCTCAAAATGAACTGATCATCAATATTGATTTATCCCAGTGATGTAATGTCATTGGCTGAACGGGTCATTAACATCAGAAATCATTCTTCTTTTTTTTTATTTCTTTCTTCTTTTGGTCGGTCAGTTAGATCGAAGCACGTGATAATGTACGAAAAAAGGAAATCTAACGAAGCGAAATTGAATAAACGTAGTCATTTGCATATTTTTGAATTTTGCTACACAATCATTCACCATTTGATATGCACTTCTCGTCGTTTCTTGCCGGTTTGTTTGGTACGTGTGATGGGTCTTAATTGCGCATTCGGCTGATTTTGTGGCACATAATTGCAAAAAGAATGCTCAATGCTGAAGTCGAAAATGCCGAATGAAAATACGTTGTAGAATTTAGAAGAAATAATGCTCAGTGCAGCTTGAGAAATATAATGATGACAACAACGGCTGGAGAATCTGTATAAAAAATCAACAATTTTCAACAATAAAAAATGCCATATGAAACGTTTATTCACTCAAAATGAATTGATATCATTTATTCGTGTTTATGTTTCGATCACAATTAATTGCTTCGCTCTAGCTCTATGAGTTGTGTTTTGGAAATTTCTGGAGAGAGAAAGAGAGCGAGAGCGAGAGAGAAATGTGTGTCCGAAAAAAAAAACATACGATAAACATGGCACATCGAATGATTTGAGTCATGCGTATCCCGTTACCGGCATCGTTCACACTCACATTCTATGTCCCTGTGTGTATTGCATTTGCTTTGTGCGCCACCCGCTGCTCTGCCACAGTATATTCTCTTCGTTTTATGCACGAAAGACACTCGTCGCTCACTATTCGGCTTCAATTCTATTTCATCACAAACCAATTGTATTGCCGTTGTTGTTTTTTTTTTTTGGTTTTGCCAGCGCAAACAATTGCTCGTTGTTCCTTAATTAAATAAAAACACGTTCGCTCGACTGTCGAATCAAGTGCAATATATATACATACAATATTGTAAGAAGTCAATACATTGCAACCAACCACAATCATAGCTATTCTCTCACTATATCGAACTATATAAGTCGGGTGGTTCGACATTCAGACAGCTTTAATATTTGTCGTGAGTCGGCATCACATCATACACAATAGCGTCGCAAACATTTGTTTCGTTGAAACAAAATAAAGAGAGAGAAAAATATCCGGCATTTCTTTAACGAGATTATTCATTTTTCACTTGTCGTGTGCAAATTTCTGTGAAGGTAGTGTTCAATTGGTTTTTGAGATATTTTTTGTGTTGTTGCATCGCGTTCTTTGATTCGATTTTCTCGTAAGATTTTTTTTTATCGTGTGTCAAACATTTTGTTATTCATTCATAGTCAATAGTTTTGACTCAAAACTATAAATATTGGACGAATAGCATAAAAATTCAATTTTTTCACATAATTTTTTTTTTTTTTTTTGTATTTTTGTTGAGAGAAATTTTACAAGTGTAATTCAATTATTTTTATTTCATTGAAGGGAAGAAAAAATGGTAGCTGAATTGATACACGTGGATTCACCAAATGTATCGTACGATGGTGATCAAATCACCGTTGACTACGAATATTCAATGACAAGTGTGAAAAAAATCGACAATCGTTTGGTGGTAAGTGCATTTGTTGTTGCTCTTTGTTGAGTCATGGGAATCTGTGTATGTGCAAAAATGAACATACAAACAATTTCTTGTTATCGTTTATGGATGTGATTGGAACGCGTTGGGTGTTGTTTTTTTTATCGTCATAGGTCACACCAGAAAATATAGCGCTAACAATTGCTACGGATTGTCATGTACCGAAATTGGGTTTGATGTTGATCGGCTGGGGTGGTAACAATGGATCCACGATAACCGCTGCCCTCGAAGCAAATCGCAAAAAATTGGAATGGCGCACAAAGGATGGTATTCAAAAGGCGAACTGGTTTGGCTCAATTACACAAGCGTCAACCGTTTTATTGGGCAGCGATAGCGAAGGTCAAGATGTTTATACACCTATGAATCGACTCATTCCCATGGTTAATCCCGATGATATTGGTGAGTTGCATTTACGTTAACTTCCACTAGGAAGTTATTTTTTCCACTTTTATTTTCCGTTTCAACTCAAATAATTTGGTGAAGCCCTTCATTTCGGTACTTTGATGTAGTAACAATGCTTGCATAAGAATTAAATGTAATCGCATTTTCATTTCAAATTGAAACCCTTTAAATAAACACTATTTTTGTCTGTTGCACAGTGGTCGACGGCTGGGATATTTGTATCGATAATATTGGCGATGCAATGCGCAAAGCCAAAGTACTTGATGTTGCACTTCAAGATCAAGTCTATGATAAAATGTCTAAATTCAAGCCACGACCTTCGATTTATGACCCAGACTACATTGCAGCGAATCAAGTGAGTAGAAAATGGTTTTTTCTTTCAAACTTTCATCAACGATTGGGTAGATTTGGTTCGAAATTTAACGTTCAATTTCCATTTACAAAAAAAAAATTCAATTTCAAACATGAATTCTCTATTTGGGGTCAGATTAGTTAAATATAGTTTCAATTTTGTTGTTTCACATTTTTTTTTTGAAATTTCCGTTTCCATACAAAGAACGCGTTGTTTGTATGGAAATGGAATTCCGTACTGGATCACAAGATCATGCCCCCATAAAAATCGTAAAAAAAAAACGTAAAAAGCTCCATTGTTCAAAAAATGAATCAATTTCGAACAAATCAGAATCAAGATCCGAATTTACATTTTCATTGAAATTTGTGATGTTACCCGAAGAGAAGTTCCTATTAATCGATCGATTCTTTCTCCATTTAAAAAATTGTCCTACAGTCATCCCGTGCAAAGAATGTTCTCACCGGCACTCGCTATGAGCAGTATCAAAAGATCCGTGGCGATATTCGTGATTTCAAGGTAAAATCGGGCGTTGACAAAGTCCTTGTATTATGGACGGCGAATACGGAACGTTTCTCAACCGTTGAAAAGGGTTTGAATGAAACGGCCGCCGAATTGGAGGCTTCATTGATTGCAAACCACTCAGAGATATCTCCATCGACAATTTTCGCTATGGCCAGTATTGCCGAGGGTTGCACATACATCAATGGATCGCCTCAAAATACATTCGTACCCGGAGTCGTTGAATTGGCCGAACTGCATGGTGTTCACATTGCTGGCGATGACTTTAAATCGGGTCAAACCAAGTTGAAGTCAGTGTTGGTTGATTTCTTGGTCAGTGCTGGCATCAAACCCGTTTCCATTGTAAGCTACAACCACTTGGGCAACAATGATGGCAAAAATCTGTCTTCACCACTACAATTCCGGTCGAAAGAGGTATGATTTTTAAAAAAAAAATTCAAATAAAAACTGATTCGATTTTTTTAAATTGAAAAAATTAAGGAAAATAAAAAATGGAGCCAAAAAGTAAACATTTTGCAAAACAAAGATTTTTCTTTTAAAAAAGTGGAATTTCACATTTTTTTTTGTCGCTTCCTTATCCTTCTCCTTCAGATTTCGAAGAGTAACGTGGTTGACGATATGGTTGAGTCGAATAGTATTTTGTATGCAAAAGATGAGCATCCAGATCATGTGGTCGTTATCAAGTATGTACCATATGTTGGCGACAGCAAGCGTGCGATGGACGAATACACCAGCGAAATCATGATGGGTGGCCATAATACACTTGTCATCCACAATACCTGTGAAGATTCCCTCTTGGCAGCACCGCTCATCCTCGATCTGGCCATTCTCGGCGAATTGTGCTCACGTATTAAGGTACGTCTCATAACATGTTCAACGATAATTGAATACTTATCTAAGCAATGAAGCATGTTAACATTCGATCCATATTGTTTACAAATTAATAAATCACGTCTTGCAATTACAATAAATTACCATGTAAATTGCACATGTCCCCATAATGAAATTGTGTGACATCTCATGATCACGTCATTGCTATTTCTCGCACGTGCCGCAATATTTTATGCGCCTTTTTTTTCTCATTTATTTTGATTGTAATTGTCTAGATCAAGCGAAATGAACCGAGCGCAAAGTTCACTTCATTCCGATCGGTATTGTCAATATTGAGCTACTTATGTAAGGCTCCACTTGTTCCAAGCGGTACACCCATCATTAACTCATTGTTTCGTCAACGGTCTGCCATCGAGAACATTCTGAGGGCCTGTGTTGGATTGCCGCCAAACTCACACATTGCATTGGAGCATCGCGTAAGTTGAATCATTTCCTGTGTTTGAAATAAATTGTAAACAATTTTTCCCCCCAAATTATTTCAGTTTATTTTCATTCGGTTTTTGAAGAATTACGTAAAGATTTTTTTTTCTTCAATTATTTGAAATAATTGATTTCAATATTATTTTCTAATAATTAAAGAGATTCTTTAATTTTTCTAATTGAAGAAGTTCTAAAAACTGATTGTTTTAATCAACAATTAATTTGTTTCTAACAAAAATCGTGCCTTTACCTCTTTTGTGATAATTTTCTTTAATTTTTTCTAATCGACATTTTTCTTTCTCGCTCAATTCAAAGTTCACCAATTTGATAAATGAACCCGAGCAGCCAGCTGTTAAAAAGGCGAGAACTGGCCCGGCTGTAATCGCCAACGGAAAGCACTAGATAACGAATTAGTCGTTACAAAAAAAAATCGTCTGCATCAACTCAAATCACAATAAAAAATGTGTGTGAACTCTTCAAGGAGGGGGAAGTACAAGTCGATCAACGGTGGCAGATTGTTCACATTTCACGGGATCATAACAATTTATTCGATGTTGTTTTAGATGCATTCATAAATTTTTGCTCTCTAAATAAATGGAATTTTTTTTTTTCGGCCATAAAAATCGCGTAGTTTTTCTTTCACCACCATTTCTAATGCGGAAAAAAAGGTCCCATCTCAATCCTTTGTATTCCAACGAAGGTCAATGTGATGCAGTCAATGTTGCATATATGAAATAAAACAACAGGATTTGTTCAGTACTTTGCTTATGCATGAGTTAATCTTTTATTGAAATCTCGAATTCAGTTCCACGATAAAATTACAAGTCATTTAATCATTTGATTAAGAAAAAAAAAATTCGTACTGGAGACAAGACGAAAAAAACTCTTTAACAATTAACAAGAAATAAATAAGAAAACGTTACGTGTGTGTTGAAAAGCAAATATTGTGCTTGTTGAAACTATAATCTATATTGCTAGGCCGAAGCCATCTCCCTTTCTATTTTTTTTCTTTTTTTTTCAATCACTTGTGAATTTCGCATTTCATTCGAATTTACTAACTTTGTCATTGTCATTATAATATCATAATAATTGTGTACATATTGAAATTTGTTTTAGAGAGTTCGCCAAATAAGACGGGAAAAAATCCGAATCTGCTGAATAATTGAAAAATAGAAGACAATTCTTTCACACGTTCATCGTCATTCATCACTTGATTTGGTTTGATTCTAGGTTGGAACGAAGTGGTGAGGTGTTGCACACAGTGTGGCCCGAATAACTCTAATCCTCATCATCATCATCGTCCGATGGAACGAATAGATCGTTTTCTTCAAGGAAATTTGCTACACTTTTGCTAATCGCGGCACCGATAAATAAGCCAGGCACCACCGAGCACACAATTCCAATGATTCCGAACGATGAAATCGGTGGCATTGGCTTAAACGCTCCAGTTCGATAGTATGTCTTGTGTCTAATTTGTTGTAGCCGCGTTGAATTGGCTCCAGTTCCAGTAGCAGCAACCGTAGCAGCCAATCGTTGCAATGCGACGTATTTTTGTAACAGCAACATAATATTTTGGTCCTTTTGTTCTCGTGTTCGTTTTCGTTTCGTTTTCTACACACTACTACGTGTTATTGGTCCTTGCTTTTCAAATTCTGATAAGTTACTGCGATGTGTCTCGTTGTTTTCGTTTCGTTTTTTTTTTTTTTTGAAAATAAAAAAAGAACTTTGTTTATAGTCTCGAATTTTCGATTGTGTATGTTTTCTTCGTTTGAGTAAAACCACCCGGAATAGGAACAAGTATGGTGGATTTTTCTAGCAAATTTATTTACAATTCGCCTGTTTACTTGTTAACCCTTTTGTCCTGATCGTATACACTAAAAATGAAATTCACGCCAAATTGTTGTCGATTTTCGGCTACTTTTTTTCGTTTCGATGAAAATTATTGCTTCGTTAGTTTTCAACTAAATATAGAACAAAAAAAATCTCTCTCGCACTCTTCAGCTGCTGCCAGTGACAGCTACAATTTGTCGAATCATATGAGTGTAATCGAAAAGAAAAAACAGAATGCCAGAGCGAGAACGACATAGTGTTGTGGTGAATTTGAACGTGCGAAATGTCAGACATAATGCGACATTGAGCGGAATTATGAAGGAAAAATATTCATAAACAATGCAAAGAGCACACGTATGAGCGAGACGAAGCGAGGCCAAGAGAACGGAGCAGCAGCTTTATGTTAATGGAATTTACTAGTCTGTCACAGTGGAGACGGTTAGAAGATTTTCAAATTTTTGAACATCGCATGAATGACAAATTTTGATTTAAAATTTCCAATTTCATAAAGAAAATATGAACATTTTTTTTTCTTAGTTTGAATTTTCAATTTTTTCGATTTTTTCGATTTTTTCAATTCACTTTTTAATCGCTAAAAAACCACTAATCATTCGATCCTGCTTCAACCGTTCCAGTAAATGGTATGGCTGATTTGCGTGAGTGCTACTGCGACTCGATTGTTCTAAAAGTCTTTTCTTCTCTATATCTCTCTCACTCTCACTCTCTCTCTCTCTCTCTCTCACTTCGACTTGTCAAAATCCACTGGCACACAGCTAGTACTTTATTGTATTGTGTCGTTCAGTTGTATGGACGTAGTGTTTTTTTTTGGGTGTGCTGTAGTATTGTATATTATTTGAGAGAACTGAAAGCAGTCGTTCGTTCGACATTTGTACAATGTCTGTTGTTTTTCAATGTGCATTTAAAAAAATTCAAGTTAAATTACCATTGAATTATTTCAATGGACGCGCTAGCAATTCGGGTTTCAATTGAATTGCACAATAATTTTGCGGAAAATTGGTTGCGATTCAGTTTAAGAAAACAGCATCTTCAGTGAATTTGTGTGTTATACACACACACACACACATCTATATATTACTATATCGATAAAAATATGGCTCGCAAGCAATTGTTTATATGCGATCTGCTACAAAGGCGGGAAATCGGTTCACTGCATCGCAACGAAATTCATCAATTGACCGAAGCCAGCACCGGCCTAGCTGATAAATTATTAGTACATAATAATGTTATTAAGGTAATGTGGAGTGTGTGGCCAATTGCAATTGCAATGAGTTTTGTTTGTAATGAACACAAAAACCGGATAGAAAAAATGATGATATTGTTCTACGGAGTTTATGAAAGTGAACTGGCAATGAAATATTGAATAGAAATGGCGTAATTGACTGCATTGAATCATTTTTGTGATGAATACATCAAAAGAAGTTCAACTCAAACAAAAACACATACAAAGTGCAATCACATCAATGAAGTTCCGTTTAACTTTCAACAACGTTGAGATTATTCTGAAATTCCTGGATTTAACTCGATTGAATCATGAGATATGAATGTACTTTAAAATCTCTGTTGATTTTAATCATTTACTATCGTCAACTTGGTTCTAATTTGAATTTCGCTCTCTCTCTCTTTGTCTCTCAATTTACAGACAATTCCATGCATAGACGATCGTTCGCGATCCTCTTATATGGCAGTCACAAATACCAAAGGCATAGCCGCAATGACCCATTCGAACCGATGTATCAGCCTCATTGACACGGGAACTATGAAACGAATCGCTGAAATTGATGGTCTCACACGCACCGTTTGGACGCTTTGCTTCCATCCGCACAATCCAAACCTGTTGGCCACCGGAGATTTAGGCGGAACCGTTTGCGTTTTCTATGGAACGGTAATTGCTTCTTCCGTTCATCTTTGATTTTCTTCTGTTAAAGACACAAATCGAAGATTTTTTTCGAACCAAAAATATGAACTGATGAAACTCAAATCATTTAATTTGATCCGTAGACAAAAATCCAATCGAGACTGAACGACAGCTATCCAGTAACATCGATTAGTTTCCATTCCAAGGAACCACTGATATTTTATTCCATCGACAATCGAATTGTAATATGGAATTATGAGGAAAATTTCAAAATTATCGATCTCTTTGCGATGGAAGAGTCGCGTATAAAGTAAGTTGAAGAAAACAGAAAAAATGATGAAAAATGGGAGAAACATGAATTCAAAGAAAAACGGTATTTTCTTTGAATTCATGTTTCTTTCATTTTTCATCATTTCTTCTGTTTTCTTCACCTTCCTTCTGTTCTGCCATTTATTTTTTAATCGAAAAACATGTTCAAATTTCTCCAATAATATTCATCCATTTCGTTTGTAGATATGTAAAATACAATCCCACCAATGATATGCTCATCACGGGAATTCGCCGCGAAAATCAAATGTCATCGTTTGATACCAAAGATGAACCGGACGAAAATCATGAAACTCGACTAATTTCATGCTCATCATTCTTCGATCGTCTGTTGCGTTCATTAAGTTCGATTATTGATAACATCGATCCGAACAGTTTTGTTAACCTCGGCAAATATTGGTCACATATTCACGTACACACTAGCTCCTATTACAATGTTCTCAAGAGCTGTGACAAAGTGCAATTACAGCCAGTGAAATTTGTAAGTTTTTGAACACGCCCACAGCATTTTTGTTACTTTGACTTTTTTATTGGACAAAAAGAAATTTTTAGACGTTTTAGAGAATAGAAATTTCTTACCGAAAAAATATTTTTTTTTTAATATTAACCCTCAATCGCTCACCCGGGTCTGGCCAGACCTTTTTCGTTTTTGATCGTTAATTTAACACATTTCTAGTTTAGCTAGCGACTTGAGTTTTAAGTTACCTGCCTAAAATTGCATTGGCTATCGATCTAACAAAAGATCCATTAAAAAAAAGTCCTTAAAAAGGATGAAATAAGGATATGCAAAAACTACACCTTCGATCGCTCACCTCGAGTCTGGCTGGACCCCTATGTATTTGTATGCATTTGTATGGGAATAAGGTATGCATGCCACCTCATTTTTCACGAGACTGATAAAAGATTAGTGATATCTGTCTTCAGCAGAATTATAGAGCAGGTCAAGTACTACAATTTATCTCAGTTCATCATCCATTTATCTCCTATCAGTTCCGCGAAAAATGATAAGAGATATCTCGCGTTTTTCGCGGTTTTTTGCGCAACTGATAAGAGATAAAGAATCTATGTCTTGAGCAAAGTTGTAGTACTTTATCTGCCCTACCAATTTGCCGAAGACAGTTATCACTTATCTCTTATCAGGTACGTGAAATACGCGAAAAACCGCAGAAGACCGCTAGCATGATGGATAGTTTTGATTATCATTTTTTGCGTAACTGATAACGAGATAAAGAAGAGATAAGTGATAACTGTCTTCGGCAAAGTGGTAGGATAGATAAAGTACTAAAACTTTGCGCAGAGCATAAATTCGTTATCTCTTATCAGTTGCGCGAAACACCGCGAAAAACTTAAGATATCTCTTATCAATTTTCGCGGAACTGATAAGAGATAAGGAGATGGTGAATAGAAAAAAATTGTATAACTTGACGCGTTCAATAATTTTGCTGAAGACAGTTATCACTTATCTTTTATCAGTCTCATGAAAAATAAGATGGCATGCATACCTTATTCCCATACAAATGCATGTACAAATACATAGGGGTCCAGCCAAACCCGAGGAGAGCGATCTAAGGGTTTTAAATATGTGAATGAAGGAGGGTTAAATCGTCGGATGTCAAAAGCCAAAAAAAAAAACACCATAGCAAACACTATATTATCGACATTTGTCATAGCTTCCATATAAAATTCGAATTAAACGTTAACTTGAATATTTTCCATAGATATGAAGAAATTTAACCCGGATTTTAATCCATTCATTTTTTTTTTCATTTGTTAGATTGGCGATTTTAACGTGTCACTGGCTTTAATGCAAGTGCGTGTGCATCAAATTGCACGCATGGTATTTCGATGTGATAACTTTTCAAACGATGACATCCTAAATGTTGATTCGGAACTGGTATCGACATCGGATGAATTCAACTATTACTCGATACGAAACACATTAGAAGCAATAAATTACATTCTCAAAATGTACAAAAATGAAGTGAAGCAGTTCAAATGTGTGGATCATTTAGAATTTTCCACATTGGCCGACATCATTGTCACCATCCACCGAATATTGAATCTCAACGATTTATCCAATTTGATAAGGTATGGCCTGCCGTTTGAATGCAATTCAAGGCATTTTTAATAATTTTAGAATTTATCTGGGAGAATTTTCGAGGATTGTTCTCGGTATTTTTTCCGAAAAAAAAATTTAATACGATTTTTTTTCTCTCGATTTATAGACAAAATATTCAACGGTCAGATCTGTATCAATACAGACTACAGGCATGGAATATGGCAAACATGCAAGAAACATACCTACCGGATTTCTCACAAAGTATGTCATAGTTGGAGGAAATTTTTTCATTTCTATTCGAAAATATTCATTTTTTTTTTCAAATCCATTTCCAGACTGGCGTAATTTGATTACGTACTGTTACATACACAACGATTCCACGGTCGAGCTGTCCAGATGTGGTACGATGATAGCCTCATTCGAAGTAGCAAGTTCGAAGAAAATAATTAGTATGTGCTATTTTTGTACCCGTTAGTGGGTGATTCACCCGCAATTCTCTTTTCATTTGGTGAATATTTAAATAACACTCTTTTTCCCATTCAATGTTTCAGCTGTACATAGTTTAGAAAAATCGACACTGGGTCAATACATCTGTTCATATGGATTGGACAGTGATGAGATTTTGATGTCGCTATCATTTTCGCCGTCATCCGAGTACTTGTTAGTTGGTGTTCGATCGAGTAAAATTTTTGGATGTTTTTTGAAAATTGCCAAAAATCGTAAGACAAATAAAATTAGCCCACCGATATGGATACACAATTCTGTTGATAGTATTGAAAATAATGACGACCAAATTGCAATGTTAAAACGAAGCCTATCGAATCCGGATGTGATCAGCTATTTAAAATGGTCAGCACGGTCGGGCGATGGTGTTATTATCGGCTATAAAACATACCAATTGCGTTGCTTGGTGCGCCGATAACCAACACTGTGTCACAAAAATTAAATTCAATATGCTTAAGTCGTTGTTTGTCTCAAATTGACATTTGTGCAAACGAACTGATTTAGATTTTTAAGTGTCACTCCATTTTTTTTTTGAAATTGTATCGAAAAAAAATTCTGTTTCGTTTTACTTTATCCAGTGAGAAGAATTGTTTTTAAACTATGGCATCAATGTAATTATTTGGTTTTTAAGGTTTTTTTTTGTTTGTATGTTAAACATAATATACGTTTCGAGTTTGATATATGGTAGATTTGATGAAAAAAACAACACAGCTGAATTGATGGAAATAGACGAACAAAGCGAGCCAAGTGCACTGTTGAAGGTCTTATGAAGAGTTTCTCAGTTGTCAAATTGCAGCCCATCTGATTTTGATCATCATCAAACCAAACACTCACACTCGAAATCAATTTTAAATACATACAATTCCGAATCGGTTATTTGTTTTTCCTTTCTGAATGTGATTCATTTAAGTTATCGATAAAACGAACTGAAGTACGCAATATCCCATTTTAGAATGTACTCAATGTGTCCTTTTCTAATCAAAGAAATAAAATAGTCATTAAAATAAAGCGAACTCATGTTTTTTTTCTCGAAGAATAAAGCCAACAAACTCGAGCCGAACAATGGTCAAATACCATACGTATGAATATTTCAAACAATTTGGCGAAGTGGAATTAACTTTGATCGGATGCTATTTTAAAAATGATTAAAAAATATTGCAGAAATCTTAATCAACTCGACATTCGGATTTCCAGCGTCGAAAATTAAACGATGACTTAGATTCAACCATTATTGTCGAAATTAAAATATTTAGATTTGGGTTTTATGTGTGGATCTCATTTGAAGCCATTCAATGATTTCATTTCACCCTGTTCTCAGTTAGAAACCTTGATAATCAGAGGTGGAAGTGACTTATATTTAATGAATTAACAATGCCAGCCAATAACTTTCCGAAATTAGTTGAATTTAAAGCATTGATTGGAAATATAGCGATTGATCGATTCTTAGAGCCGACTATCGCTAGTATGCTGCATAATATTAAACGCACCCATTCATTTTTCATTGTTTTCAAATTCTGCGCGAATAAATTACATTAAGCCTTAATGGGAATGGATGCGTTTAGTATTATGTGACTTGTCGCTGCTGTCCACAAGCAGTCGTAGCTTAGAGCGTAATCCACAAATTGAAAAAATTACCATAAGAATGCCGCATGGGCCTATATTGGATCAGCATGTTCTAAAAATTTGGATATTGCATCACAGTCAAGATTTAGGTATCACTGAAGATGATAGTATTCGTTTGAGAAGCTTAAACGTTTCGGTGCTGAATCTGAACAGCGAACTTGATGATTCGATCACAAATACGTTTCGTTTAAAAAATATTAATGAACTTACACTTAATTTTAATGCATCATTTGACGAGAATCATTTGATTTCATTGACTTGAAATTTATTCAATCTTGAATACCTAAGCATCTACCACAACAGTTCTTTTAAAATAAATTTCGATGCAATTAAGCAAATGTTACAGCATGCAAATCATCTGCTGAGTTAGCAATGGCCAAACAATGCCATTCAACCTTTTGACGCAGATGATTATGATGATATCCTAAGATTTGTTAAAAATCGCCGTAATCACGAGAAATTAGACATTCAATTGATCAACATAACCAGCTTTTTTGATGATTCCAATGGAGTCAAAAAGAAATTGAAGGTATTTGAAAGGGGCTCCGAATGTCTGAGAGTTTTGAATTGTACAAGGTGGGCCAGACTACGTATCGATCTTTTTTCTATATTTATTTTTCAAGTACTAGCGTATTTGCTTGCTTTGATTAAATATACGTTTTTTAACCATAAATAAAACCGACAGTTATTTTGGCCCACCCTGTAATATGTCTATGCGTTTTTTTTTTTAAACTAAAACGGAATAAATAACGTCCTGTTTTAATATTTCTATCAATAAATGAGCTATAGAAAATGAAGTCAGTAATTACTTTTTTTATTAATACTGTCCCGACAAGAAATTTGCGAATAATCGCATTGCGGATAGTTGGCGAGTACCCTGCGAATACTCTGAAATGTCATGCGCAGCCAACTTCAGGTTGGAACTGTACTGTTGTTCGCAGCGCGAATAGTCGCAGGGTATTCAGCGATAACATTTTGCGGCAACTTTTATTGTGGATTCCTATTCGCATTGCGAGTATCCGCGGATATGCGACGGAATGTCGGCGTACACCTATTTTACCGCAAATTTCTCGTCGGGTGTACCATAGAACAACGTGTGAATATTTGACTTAGTGTATAGTATGCGAAAATAATTACAGGCGAACATTGTAAACGAAATGTGAATCTGAAAATAAAAACGATGACAAAATAATTAGAACCAGATTTTCATTTATTTTGAACCTAATATCAATTCGAGTTTTATAATTTACATTGAAGTATGTTTCATGTTTTTTATTGACTATGAAAACCGTGTGTTGTATCGCATTTTAGAATGTACTCAATGTGTCCTTTTCGGTATTCGAACGAAATGCAGAAAAAATGAAAAAAATCATTAAAATAAAGCAAGTTCATGTGTTTTTTCTTTGAAGAATGAACTAAATTGAATAGAGGTTATTTTCTATGTGAATGATTTGCTTTAAACAACAGACCGACCAGAAGGTAGATTAGAAAAACTCTGTTTTTGATTGAAAAATGGGCAAACATTTATTGTATTGAGCAAGAGTTTATTTGTCGTAGATTTACACAAATTGAGCAGGCACACATATACATAAGTACAACTTTTAATAGAATCACTTATTTCAAAGAAAAAAAGGAGAATTTCAACACTTTAAGAAGTACAAAAAATGAAATAAATTGCATCACTCGGTGATGTTTGACGATTGAATTTCGGCACCATTGATTGTTAGCTGGTGCAGTAGACCATCGTGTTTATTGCCACTGTTGCGGGCACTTAAAATAAATACATTGCCATCCTCTTCCCATTTAGTTTCAGTTCCGTTATCCATGAATTCACCCTACACATGAAAAATCACCATAGATAATTAGACTGATTTCAGTGGAAAAAGAAAAGCAATAATAAATTATACCTCTTCTTCACGCAATGTCCCATTCAAAAATATGTTTAATGTGTCTTTTTCTATGGAAATCATCAATGCAGAATATGAAATAGACGTATTTAGATTTTAAAAAATATTAAACTTTCAAGTGTTCTTTTCTGTCAGGTAGAAACGATTAAAAACAATTTACTACCTAAAACGACACGATAATTAGTCTCATTGATTGTAGCCTCCCAAATTCGTAGAGCTTTCGCTTGCCGTTGTTTGAACTGATCCAACGGTTTTCCATCTACGAATAGTGAGTATTTGTACTTGAAACCAGGCGCTGGATCGACCTAAATCGAAAATAAATTGTAAAATGACAAATCTGAATGAAAACTGAATGATTTTCCAAACATTTGAAAACTTGAACGGAAAATCGAAAATTTTGTATGAGAAATTTAACACTCAGTAGCAATTGGATCGATTTAAATGAAAAATTTGAAAAATTTTATGCAAAATCCATACTCGAAGGACGCATCGCAGTTCATCCAACTCGAACACATCATCACCCACTAATTTGAACATCCAGTCACGGCGAAAAATCTCCTATAAATAGAACGCAAAAATTTTGCTTTACACACGATTTGTTCGCTAAGAAATATGTGCGTGTTTGAAATATATTCAGTTTCATCTTCATGATAGAGTACAAAACAAATCCATGTTTTCCATAAAACGACCTAAAATCAAACCTTTTCATCAATCCAAAGAATGCGTCGTCCGCTGGTTGTGCCATGTTCAAATTCAATTTTGTGAAGTTTTCCACGGACCGGTACTTGCCATTCTGCCGCAACTTCTCGGGTCTCATATGCGTTTGGCTCATCGCTGGCCAATGTATTGCTCGTTGTGACTGTGTAATTTTGAATTTCACCCGAAGCTGGAGCAGTAGTAGCAGCAGCAACAACAACTGGATTGTCTGGAGTAGGTGCTGGAGCCTCATCAACAGTTGGCGATGCAAGCCCAATGGCGGCTGCTTCCCTCGGCTTTGGTACCCCAAACAAATGATCCGACAGCCACGACATTTCCACTCTCTACTAAGATCACCCAATGAAATGCTTCTGAACACCGAAACAGTAAAATTGTCACTGAATTGAGCCTATCCAACATAGTAAGTAAATGGAAAAAAGAAATCTTAGAAAATTTCCCCCTTCTAAATGAGACCGGGATTTCCAAAATCATTGTCATACTGAATTATTAATGAACGGTCGTCACGAATCGATTTCTAGGGCTCCTCCGTCAAATCACATGGTAGCAAACTATCATTTTTCTCCTCTGTGGTTTGAGTAACTTGTAACGCAATTTATTTCCACTCACATTTCATATCGATTAGATATATTAACCACCGTTTTTTTCTCTTCAAACAATTGACCTTCTATATCTAACGGAACGTAAACAAACTCAGAAAAAACAACATACTACCAATGGACTAACGGTTACGATAGATACAACTTATATGACTACTAAACTGGCGTGTTTACACATCAGTTTAATGACTACTGTTCACACTCGTGAACCAATTTCTAGGCAAAGAATCAATATTCGGATGGGTTTCAAACGAAGACTTTAATTAAATATTGAATCGAAATTCGAAAGTTTGAAGTTTGATCGATAGTAAATTGCCTTCGAAAAGGTCGATTTGAACCAATGTGGACGAAAAAAGCTTGTTGAGTATCATTTTTCGAAAAGCTTCAAATCTATGCGCACTAAATCATTAAGAGATAATCATTCTAATCGTTCTTCAATACAGAAAGAGATATTTTTGTCTTGTAATATCTTCCCTTGGTTAGAAAAGTAGGAGAAAAATGATTTTTATTGAAAATTTGAATGGGTTTCAAAAAAATTGAGCGTATTTTCAAAACAATTTCTGACCATAAGCATGAAATGAAGATCTTATTCGTGAATATACCGGATATTGGGTAAATCGTCATGTGTGTGGATTTTCATCCACTGATGAATCAGTATAAAATTCATGATCAGCATCGTATCAAAGCATTTAACAGCTTGTATTTCAATGAAATTCCATTATTATCCAGGCTTAAGCCTTAGGGTATTAAACGCCAATCACATGATGATTCAATAAAATTATGTCAATTTTCCCACAACATTTTGAATCAAAGTGATGAGACAGTGATTTACGGAATCGACATTAAATATGGTCAAAGAGAAACATTTAGTATTGTCAAGTACCCGATTCAATTGTTGATTGTTCAAATTGCTACTCAAACTATTTACGTCGAATATTCAGCGTTGCAAACGGAATTGAATGCATTCTCAATGGATTATTGACATGATGCGGTTTTACAATACATTGATGAATATATACAAATGATGATAGCTTTTGCCATCGTATGTTAATAATAAATGAAAAGATTCGACAAAATGGAATGTCTCTCGTTGCATGTTGCACCACTTGATCTTATGCATTTTTTTCCGGTGTGAATAATAAAAACCCAAAGGAAAATATTTAAAAAAATTTCTCATATAACTTACCGAATTCACACACAGTCATGTAGTACGACAATATCAAAATGTTTCAACGAGTTCACCGAAACTGAATGTTAGCAATCGATAGCGACGGTAATGATTTCGATTTGATGTATAAAACCGCACTGAAAATGTGGATGAAATGAAATTGAGCGCGCCATTGTTCGACTTAGAAGGAAGGATATGTATCGAAAAGTGGAACAGGTACTTGGCGTACACAGTGTAATAATAGAAAGAAAATGAGGAAAATAATTGATTCAAACATACCAAAGTGCTGTCATTTTCGATTTGTTTCCCTTTCACTTGTGTTCTTCTTCTTCTTCTTGCTTTAGTTCTGGTCGGTTGGTTCAGTTTCATTCATACTCATCATTGAAATGGGGAGAAAAATGGCGCTAAGTTTTATCATCCATTTATCAATGGGTAAATATGGACAAATACTTTGTCTACGGTAAAATGGCTTTTGCAATTGGAAACCATCGAATGATTGGGCAATTAATCAGCATGCTGCCGATTATATGAAGCCGAATCAAACAAGAACACCAATGTGTTTCAATGCAGTCGAAATATTTAGTACACAATGCCGTGTTCTTTTATTTTTAACCACAAATACTTTTTTTATTTCTCACAATATTCAAATCACCCTCTTTTTCACCGAACACACGGCTACATCATACCAAGCGACGCTTTCAAATCGACGCTGGTTTATTCGAATTGATAACTGGGCGCCCAATACATTAGTTACCATATAAACACAAGCCTAGCAAAACAAAACACGCGCTCACTGGCTACCGCATGGAGCGCACCATTGTGGATAGAAACTGTGTGAGTGAGTGTGTTAGCGCGAGCAAGCGAGTGAGAGAATGAAACAATTGTGTTGGTTATTAGTTTTGTTCATTGCTTATTTTGTTCGTACCTCAAGGACTAGTAATCCATTTGAGGAACAAAAGTGCCAATGTAACAGCGATTTTCTATATGGAACCAAATCGCTATTGTTTGACTGCAGTGAACGATTAGTAACAATGGAAAACTGAAGTCTACAACAGGTACATAATCGTGAAATATGCGTTTTTTTCGACGTTGGTCAATCATTTCCATATGTTTGTTGCAAATCGGCCCCCAATTCTAGCGTGATAATTCGCAGTTTTTTTTCTCTGTTTGCTCGTCTCGGTTGTTATGTAAATATATGCCAAAGCATTTGTAGATATTTAACCATATGATCCATGTACACACGCGTCTCCCAATCTTAATCTATTCCGTTCGAAGAATGAACACTACTTGCTATTGGTGTGCTATTTTGTTTATTGTATATCATCCGTGCTTGGCTCGTGCTGTGCTTATAGAACACAGAGAGAGAGAGAGAGAGAGCGCGAAAAAAACAATACTCACACACAACACATACGCTTGTTCATGCGCGTTTACTTAGTTCATTCGGCGAATCCGCACCAAAAACATCGTTTCATTTAGTCTCTTCCAGTTTGTTTCATCGGATTCTTTTTTGCGCTTCAGAACAGAATTCATTCGGATCGGGATATGATTTTTACGAAAATTTCATAGCCATTAATTATAACGCAACAGATTTATTGAGCGTGTTGAATGTAATCAATTGTTGAAAGTGCTGTTGTTTCAGTTTTTTTTTCTTCTGTGGTGTTGTTACACATATGTTAAGTTTGGTGTGTTAACGCATCAGTTTTGAAGAAGAAAAAAATATCGGAAATTACGATCGTTCTAAGATGAAGATCAGATTCTTTTGCTTCGATCTATGATGAGATCACATGCCGTCTTGAACTGAGTTCTATGGAGTGATAATAATAATTGATATTTTGAATAAGATGCTGAGTGTGTATCAACTGAAATTGTTGAAATTCAGTCCGAATTTTGAGATTTCATCAAAGTATACCCGGCAATACAAACAACAAAATGAACAGTTTAATCAGTTTGTTCGCACAAATTGTATTCAGATTGTCTTTTTGTGTAAAAAGTATTTTCTAAAAACGGTCGCATTCAGAAACAGAAACTACTGGCAATCCCAATAAAATCATTTCATATACTAGTTTTGTGTTCATAGTGACGAATTGAGCGTTGGTTTATGTATCGAAAAGTGATACATTACCATATTATGAATAATCGTTTATTCACTGTCCACATATCTCCAATGTCTTCCTATTAAAAACCGAGTGCAAAAACGTTGTCAATGTGAAAAGAAATTGTGCAAAAATGACGCATTTTATGGGATCAAATTCAACAAGGAAATGACAAGTTTGGCCAGACAAGATGATATAACTGGTTCAAGTTAATTGTGTGTTTTTTTTTGGCAGAAATTGATATTATGGGAATATATCTATCTTGGGCCGCTTTATGCCAAATAACGATTTACTTTCGAAAACAATCGAAATTGCGATTGTTATCGCGTTTTGCCTTGAAATGTGATCTTCCCCCTTTTTTGGTTTGTGAACGAATTCTGTTCTTGGTTCGTCGAACGTTTGGTTATGAACAATAATGAAAAATCACACCACACGACCAAAATTAAAATCAATAAATCCAAGTTGACTAAACGCGTTTAAATTTGGCGTATATAAGCGCGCGCGTGCGCGGAAAGTTCAATCAAAAATGCATAGAGTAGTCGTCGTCGTCGTCGCATAATTATTCTAAAACGCATAAACTGTTTATCGATTGCGTTAATGAACAGTAGCCCGCATCTCGTTAAAAGCGGGCCGCCTTCGGCGTGCACGCACTTGTGTCAGCCGACATCAGTTTCGGTGGCTTTTTTCACTGCATCTGCACTTGAGCGTAATAAAAAGCAGATGCAAATGTGTAATCAGTTCAACTGTTTACATTTGAATCATTTACAACCAAAGCGTATGTTGCTGTTTTTTCTTCCCAGCATATGAACTGCCTTTTTTTCTTCCATTCTCATGTTGCTGCCGGTTCTTCAGGCGTCCACAAAAACCGTTTGAATGCGAACGAGATGGAATGAGAGGGAGAAACAGATTGAGATGAATACAAAAAACGAATACAGTGAGGAGGAGAGAAAAAAATACGATTCCATTAATTCAATGCGCAATTCAATTTAAAAAAACACACACTATCTATGAGCTCATTGCATGATGTTTTTGCGTTGTGCGCACGGAACATTGAACAATATGCGATAATTGTTTGTTAGATTCAGTTGTACTCTCTCGTAACTACTCCGTTCGATGTTGCTGTAGTTTTTTTTTATTATTATTATTTCAAAACTTTCTAACTCGCGTTCGACGCAAAAGATCAAATAGCTAGACCAATTAATTATTAGTCTAGTTTTCAATTGGAAAAACTATGGCAAATCAATTGCATCACTCGGAAATTGTTACGCATCTCAAACGAAAGTGAAACAGAGTATCTGAAACAAGAATATATAAGCAAAAGAAACAATCTCTGTGTGAGAGAACACAGAACAGGCATGACACAGTTAAAAGAACGTATTGGAATAATTATTATTGTTCTCTCCAAATTAGGTATTGTGCGATGGATACGACGACGACGACGAACAGCGATCAAACATCGATTATGACCGAGCAAAATATTCGCTATTACTCAACCAATTAATAAATATCACGTATTCACCCCACCATTCGATTCAAAAAGGTAATACATATTGGTTTTTATATTCATTCTTCTATCGATTGTAACAGCAAATATTCTCATACAATTAGAATTTGATTAGTTTGGAATTGACAATACGCGACGAAATAGAGAAATAGATATAAAAAAAAGCAACATGGGAAAAACGCTAGCGGAAAGGTCGCAAAGCAGCAGCAGCAACAACAACATCAGTGCAAATAATCAACAGCGACAACTGCTGAATCAATCATCTAAGCCAAAGAAGAGTATGAAGTCAAACGATTCAAATTGTTACAGTGCTAACTTCATCCGATACATACTTCAGACATACAACGTTCTATTGTTTGTAAGTTTAGTAGTTTTGTTGTTTTTTTTTTGCCGCGCCTGACAAAGCACATTTCGTGTGAATGAAGAAAATAGCCCAAAATTAATTTTCCGTGTCAGAAATTACACCACACCTTTTTGGACGGGCCTTCTTCATTTCTTGTCATTTCTTCATAGTACACACGCAACCGTTTATTGCATGTCCCTTGCGAAAATTCTCATTAACACGAAACTCAGTTATTCATCACCTTTTGGTGTGTGTGTCCTTTGACCTCACGACAATTTATCGAATCAACCATGCATTACGCGGATTTTTGTTTGTCATAATTTTAAATTGTGTTTATGCCAAAATCAACCGCAATTGCATTTATATTCGATAAAAAAAGGGGAGGAACGTCTTTTGATTGCATTTTGTTAGGGTATTTCTAGAGAATTTTTTTCATTGTTGTTTGTTTTGTGTTGCTTGAAACGTTTTGCAGATGTCCGGCTGTGCAATAACAGCTGTAGCATTATGGTCAATACTGTGGAAACATCAGTATGTCTCACTTTTGGCAACGCCAACGTACGCATTAACCTCATATGGTCTGTTTGCGGCTGGCATTTTTGCCACACTCACAGCATTATTCGGATGCTACGTTGTTTGGCGTGATCAACGCCCGTTGATATGCTGCGTAAGTGTTGATTGATGTTGGAAAGCATCTCAATTTTGTACACATTTGTTCTTTCCAAAAGAGTCTTTATGACTCTTTTTTTTACGAATTTCTTTCTTTTTACTAATTATCTAATTTGGAATGAAATCGAAAATTAATTTGTGTCAATTCATAAATAAAATAATACGTTTCGATTAGTTTCTGAACAAATTTGAGTTTTTTTCATAAAAGAAAATTTGAATTTTTAATCAAAGTTAACTTTTCAAATAATGTTTTAAGAAAATTTACATTTTAATTAATCACGACTAAATTAATCTTCAAAAACCGTTATTAGTCATTTCTGTAATAAACTATTTTATGACCATAATAAATCCTGTCGTTGTTGGTTGTTTTACAGTATTCTCTTCTACTGATTGTGGTGTTTTTGTTGGAATTTTCGGTCGGTGCTGTGACTTATGTGTACGAGCCTCAAGTGGATGACGAGCTGCTCACCACACTCAATAAAACCTTTATGACAAACTACGGGATCGATGAAACTCGCACCAATGCCATTGACCTAATACAACAAAATGTACGCCTTTGCTTTTCTTTTATATCACAAATTCGGTTTATTTTCTGTAAATTCCAATATTTGATGATGAAATCAGATATTGTAATTCGATGACGAGAACATGAAATAGATCTTTATAACTTTTTTCTTCATTGTTCATCATACTTTGACATTTTTTTTTAAATAGTAATAGCCATTTTCCGTTGTTTTTTTTTTAGTTTAAATGCTGTGGAGCCGAACGTTTTGAGGAATGGCGAAATAGTACATGGAAAAATACGGATGATCCCACGCAATTGATACGTTCGAATGTAAATCGTGTGGTGCCGGACTCGTGTTGTATATCATACCGTGAAAATTGCGGAAAAAGTGATCATCCGAGTAATATTCCCTACACAGGGTGCATCTATCGATTTATCGACGAGACACGCGATCATCTCAATATACTTGGTGCAATTGGCTTTGGCCTTTGCTTAATCCAGATGATTGGATTGATTCTGTCATGTTGTCTCTATTTTAAGTGATTTTTTACCAAAAAAAAAAATTTCAATTACTAACAGCCAAAAAGGCGATATGTTCCAGTCATCACACCAACTGCCATTTCTTCCATTACATAGTCTTTCAAATTAGCTTACGAAACTTATTTAAATGTCACTTTTTAAGAGAATTGTTTACATTTTACACATTACTGTTTGTTCCATTTACATTGTACGGTTTTAATGAGAAATATTGTAAAGTTTTACCGAACGCAATTATTTATTAACCTAATTAATTTAAATATATCCGTAGCATCGTAGCGAATTAAACCAAATCGACATTGTAACATATATTTTTAATATGAGAAATCTCGATTTTTTTTAAATAAATCTTGAGCCTTGATGGTAAAAATTTTTCCAATATCATAGCCAATGAACTATTTATTTTACAACGTAACATACAGTGATATCTACCAGAATTGCAAGAATCGGTACAGCACACTCTCTAAACAAAGGATACGACGTCAGAAAATAATGAACAAATTCATAGAACTCCATCAAAATATAGTATAAACACCATTTGATTTATAATCAAATTAATTGATATGCATGAGATTTAGAGTAGAGTCTGAACACGGAGAATAAGTGTCTTTCGACTTAAAAAGAAATGGTGCACCTACACATACTCTTTGCGTTTATTTTTTGGCGATTTTTCGCGACTTTCCGAGTAACTGAGTTGAGATAATGGTCTGGTATCCTTGGAAAAAGATTGTATCACACGAGATGCTGCAAACAATTTGCTTCAAACTATTTGATGCAAACAGATATCTTTTATCTCTTTTATCGGTGTCGTGAAAAACGAGAAGAATGATTTAAAAAGTACTGGTTAGCGGAGAGAAAATCTTTTTTGTGTGCGTTTTGCACGCAACTGATAAGAGATGACAGAAAATTGTGTGAAGCACCTCGATATGTCGATAAAAAAAAACAATAGGCTGAATTTTCCTTCAATTCAAGTCTTGCAAATGAAAAGAAGCGGGTAATTTCTTTATTCCATCAATTTTTTTTTTCTAATTCTGTTAAAGAAAACATGAGCACATTTATGAAAACTATACACACAATTAATTTGTCCAATTAAATCACTAAATTACTAATCATATACGTAAATCAGTGGTTCAAATTTGTCTTAATTTTATTGCAAAATGTTGAGAAAATCTCGATTCAAATATAAATCTCGTAAATTAAATAGTAAATATCGGTATGAAAACCATGGTATGGATTGGGTGTCGAGGTGGTATTATTTTCGGAGTGCTTTAAATTCGCCTTCATTGACCCACGATAGGCCAGATGGTGGCGGTGATGCTGACGTCGTTTCGGTTTTATTTTTAATTTTATCTAGAATAACTCGATGAATTTCATCGTCAAACATGCTAAAGGTAATATAATGTTTGTCTTCGGTTGGTGGTTCATCATAGATTTTATCTTTGCTAATGCGCACACATTCCTTCACTTTGTCTTCGAATCCGTTGAGTTTTTGATTGCGAATCAATTCGGCCGCATCTAGATTTGAAATTTTCACTGAATCGCCATTCAAACAAGCCACTGGGTGTGTGAATATGAACTGAATATACTTGAGCAATTGCCAGAGATGGTGTTCGGTTGGATTCCACGTTGGAAATGCATCGGATATACTTAAAATACCAGTGTATGGACAAATCAACGGATGGATCAGCTCACTTTGGAATATTACCGTCTGTGGAAATGAACATTCGGATTAGAAATGTATAGAAGATTTCGTTTGGAAGTCTCATGAATTGTATTTTTGGTGACAAAACTAAATTGTGTTTTTGAATTTGTCATTCACTTACCGGGACATCAGTTGTATTTGGAAAATCTTTGGGCAACGATATATTGAATCTAAATATGCCATCTCTATAATAGCCACTGCGAACGAACATCACACCAAACCAAACTGTGAAATAAATTATTTTCGTTTTTTTTTTGTGCCAATTTCCTTTTCCATGAACTAAAATTCAACAAAATTCCACTTACCAAATGAACTTTCATACGATGGAATCACATAAACGCCTCCAATATTCTCTTTTTGAATCATTTTTCTGCAACAAATGAGATAAAAATTGGAACTTTAATGATATTTTGAACGATGTGTCTCATGTCATTCGCACTTACAATTCAGCAATAATTTTGAACTCCTGTTGAATCGACGCCTGTAGGTCATCGTTCATTTCGATTGTCATAATTTTAGGCACTTTTTATTTATGAGAATAATAAACAAATTAAATATTTAACACAATGTTGGACACGAAAATGCGAAAATATTGTGGGAAAATAACAAAAAAAGTGAGTGTAAACAGCGATGCGTTTGTTTTCGTAGTAGGAAGTGTCAAAAGTGACAGTTCTCGTTTGACGTAACACACATTTGACATTGTTTTGGTGTCATGTCGTTACTTTTCATTCAAAGTGGCGCAGCAAAAACAAAACAAACCATTTTTAGTCTGAATTTTAATTTTTTTTTTTACAGAAATGTTCAGATATTCATTAGCCAATTCAAAGAGAGAAATTTTTAAATGTTTTTCCCAAAGAAATTACTGTCAATCGCTGTATACACAGGGTCAAAGAGCTGATAAGAAAATAAGGGAATATTTTTACTACATTGATCACGATGGAATGGTACCTTGTTCGATCATAAAAACATAATAAAATGAAAATTTTAATTATTCAACGTATTTAAATACCATTTTGAATATTCGATACAGTTATTTCTGGACGATGCACGGATAAAAAACTTCACATCCTGCTTCAAAGACCGGCATTTCATTCGATTCTTCTTCAAACGGCTGCGATTCAACACAACAAACCGGTATCAAGATGAATTCCCATACATTTCACTGTGTGGCACTGAACGAAATTACGTGCGTTGCGATGATTTGCCAATCGTTTTCACAGATGTAATATCAAATGATGAAGGTACAATTCTTGGAATATTTTCGCTTCGAATTGGATCCATTTTTGTTTCATAATTTTATTTGAATTTCCTCGTTTCAGAAAATGCGCTGGCATTCAACCATAGTGGCAATGAGCTCAAGCTGGAATTTGTGCCGCACAAAGTGTACATGTCCCCAGAGAATGGTCGAGTTTATCATCCAGCCGAGAGTCAATATGGATCGATTGGATTAATTCGATCCAAAATGGCCATTGAATTTAGTAAATATTTTGAGTTTGAGCGAGGAGAACAGAAACCACCAACACATTTTACTTGGAATAACACGCGATACACACTGGAAAATGAATGGCTGAAAGATATTGTGCTGCCACCAAATCGTACCGCTTTATGAATGTGACATTTATTCTAAGTGTGGAAATAAAACAACATGTTTTTTTTGAAATAGGTGCAATTTTGAAATTATCCATGGGCTTTATTCGATTGTGTACAATGTACACTGTACATACATTTTCTAAAGGGTATTTCAGGACTAAAACCAGAGAAAATTGACCATTTTTGTCGCTCAACGTTTGAGCTCATTTTCCTCCACTGGACTTGTATTCTGCCTTTTCGAGTAATTTGGCAATTTTTGCGTAGTTTTCGTTGACTGTCTTCATTCGCTCAGCAATATCGTACGATGTTTCATTTTTATAGGTTTTTGCTGAAGTCGATGAGCAGATATTCAACCATTTCTGGTCGACCTTTGATTTCGGAAGAATTATTTTTTGTTCATTCATCTAAGTTTGACAACAAAGAATTTCTTCAATAATTACCGCTGAGAACAGCTGTAAGAAGTAGTGTGTTGTATAGGGTGTTTCGAATGTTTATGTAGAGACCGCGCTCAATGAAAAGCAAACACACGTTTTCCGATAGCTCAGCATCACAGCATTTCGTATGCTGCGGATATATCCGAGCATATCGACGACGCAAGTCACTGTATAAGTGGCGTGCGTTGATGTGCACAGCTACATTGACTACACACAAACAGAGAGTTTTACACACGAACAGAAGGCGCAGTGTTTGTGTGTAGTCGATGTAGCTGTGCACATCAACGCATGCCACTTATACAGTGACTTGCGTCGTCGATATGCTCGGATATATCCGCAGCATACGAAATGCTGGGATGCTGAGCCATCGTAAAACGTATGTTTGATGAAAAGTGCAGCCACCTTGACATAATCTATGTTATAAGCATATAAAAAAGGAAAAGTCAATGAAACAAAGAAATTAGACCATGAATCAGTTGTTTGAACTTTTTTCCTCCCCTGGAATGTACTTTCTACTGGCGGCAGCAGTATGAAGTGGCGTATTCTTAAATTGATCTAAGGTATTTACATCGGCACCTTTTTCAATGGAAACTTTTGCTGTTTTCGCATTATCTGTGGATTTAAATCAATCATACTTGAATTTTTTTCACGATCACTATGACCAATCACGGAAAGATACCTTTAATAGTAGTTAAGTGAAGTGATGTTTCTTTATAGCGAATAGTAGCACTCAAATCGGCACCATTTTCAATTAGCATTCTTACGGATTCAGCGTGATCGCCAGCTACATTGAAATGATTCAAACATTGGAAATTTCCAAACTTTTTTTTTCATTTGAAAACTTTTCCAAGCTTACCTCGATAAACGATTGCCAACAGAACTCCATTTGGACTTCCTGAAAAATTCCAAGTTTAAATAATATTCATTTCAATTTCAAACAAATTAGAATTTGATCACTTTGAGAAACTACTTTTTCGATTCACAAATGTTTGTTCAACAAATTACTTAGCAGCAGCTTTTCAATGATATAGTAAGCTATCTATCTTATATAATGTGGGAATTTGTATTCATTTTCAAGGAGATATTACCGATATCCCATAAAAGATCCAAATAGCGCTCTCTCTGACTTTTTGAAGCAAAACCAATGGCAAAGATACAAGCTAATACCAGAAAGGTCCTCATTTAACTGTCTCTTGGAAACCGTTGCACGATCCTGCTACTTTCCCCCAAAATAAGAGAACATTTCTTTTTAAATATTTTCCTTCGTTGTTTCGGTTAGCACCGATAGCAATTTTGTACATTTACGAACTTACCATTCAACAATTGATATGAAACTCAATCAATGGCTTGCAAACAAACGATGTTCACATATTTTTCTACCAAATGCCCGACACGTATCTTCTGATCAGCAATTGTCTAACAACTTTCAGTGTATATATTAAATGGTATTCGATGACGCCATGAAATCGGTACATTTTTCTAGCCAATTGGTGGTTTCACTTGTTTACGCATAGTCTATAACTTTAACTATATCAAACAAAAGATGATATCGGAAAACCTCTCAAACGCTGAAGTGACCTGACTTGTGTATAAGCAATGTTCTTATACTTATCAATTACGTAAAATATCGATGATTCAAAATCGGAACAGTTCGAAAATGACAATTTTTTGAGCCTTTCAAAAAAATCTTTCACTTGATTAGATATTCAAATTTATTGATTGAATATCCATTCATAGAATTTCTCACATTCAGATCGATATAAAGGCTTTCACTGAAAAGTATTCAAAATGACGCATAGAACACCGAAAGTCGCTACTGAAGGAATTGAACTTCGTATTTTTATTGTAAGGGAGAATTCACTCATTTGTGTCCTTCTTTCACTCAGTGAGAAGAAAGAATAGTGATTTTTCAAAATCTTCCGAATACATAAAATGAGCAATGTATAAATTTTAACAAAACGACAACAGTTCCAGCATTTGATTCCCTTCAAATCCCACATGCTTCGATGAAAATATTGCTGAAGAAAGAATGGAAATTAAAAGAAATTTCGTTTTTCTTGATTATTTAAAAATTCATTTTTTTTTATTCATTTTTTTTCATTTCCATTTTGGAGATTCTTATGCTGGGATGTATATACATTCAAGGGGAAGGGGAATTCATTTTTTTTTCTTTTCTTAGCCATGTAAAGTTGGCATGAATAACGTCACCATTAAATGGGTCTATTTCGTTGAGGTGCAATTGTTGATCATTGGCCTTACATTTGACGTTCGCATCGTTTTGGAATGGCGAATTTCTTCACAGTGCTGGTGGCGTAGTTGCTCATGTCCACGTTGCGACCACGTTGGATTTGTTCTTTGTATTGTTGAGCAGCTGGATCGTTGATGTCACGGCCAACCACTTCAACGTTTTGAATGACTTTGCCATTGGCTTTGGTGCCTGGTGGGCAGACGGGCAATGGGCGTTTGCTGAAGTAAATGCGTTGGTTCTCGAAATCTTCAACGAATTGAGTTTGGTGTTTGGTGCCGATCTTGGCCGGTTGATTCGAGTTCTGGTTGGTGTTTTGCTTGTTCTCTTCCCAGTATTGGGCATTTTGATATTGACCATTTGGTTGTTGTACTTGGTCTACCGGGTTTTGCCTTGGTTTCTGCGATTTTTCCATCTTTGGCACTGGATGGCTGTACAAAACATCGTCGGTTGGGTATTGCTTTTGTTGGATGCGTTGTTTCAATTGTTTCATGACGTTGTCAGTGGCTGAGTTTTCATTGACAACAGCCCATGATGCGGCGAACTCTTTGTCGTTGTTGATGACTTTGTTTTGTGGTGATTGCATTTCGTTTGCGTTTTGGCCGTTGAATGATCCACAAATACCGCGGTTGTTGCGGTACAAGCTCTTGCTGCGGAACTGCACGTTTTGACCGTCGTATGTCACTTGCATGTTGCCTTGAGTCGTTTCAACGCGAAGACTGCGAGCTTGTTGTTGTCCTTCGACGACAAAGACGCGTGCCAACACTTCATTCGGGTTTTCCGTTGAGGGTACCTCAACTGTCGACGATTGGCTCAAATCTTGTTCCTTTCCATTGACGAAAAGACGTGGGCTGTTGTTGCGTTCGGTGCTTGGGCTCAATTGCACAGTGATGTCATTCTTGTTCTGTTGATGCAAAACAATCAACACTTCCTTGTTGTTCTTCTTGGCATCGCCGTACACTTTTGATTCGTTGTCGACGAAGTTGTAGGTTTGTTGTTTCACCTCATCAGATTGTTGGGCATCACGCACCAAAGCCGAGACCAAGTGGACGCGTTTGTTGTTTTCATTTTGGTTTTCAGTGTAGACACCTTCGTGCATTTTGTGCACAGCCAAGTGCCATGTGTTACCCATGGTGCCGTGTTTGACGGTACGGTTTTCAAAGGTGTTGGTTTCTTGGCCAAATACTGTGCATGTGTCACGGTTTTGGATGAATTCGCGTTTCAATTCTTCGTAGATGTTCCAGTTGGTGGGTACAACGACCATATTCTTGGTCATCGATGGCATATGTACTCTGTTCCATTCGGTTTTCATGGTTGGTGCTTTCAACGTCAAATTGACCGATCTCATGTCTGGTGAGAAACGAATTTCGAATGCAACCTTGTCCTTTTGGCCTTGGTATTCGGTGTCTTCAATCGAGTTCCAGAGAGTGGTGTAGCGTACGTATTTGTATGCATGGGACAATTTCATGCCGAATTCCTTTTCCCAAACTGCAGTCGGAGCATTTTGGTAGTCAACTTCAACATCGATGTGATCAACGGTGTTCGGGTACACGAATGGTGTTTCAACGGATGATCTTGAGTTGTACACTTGTTGCATATATTTGTGGAAGTCTGTCGATTGTTTCATGTTGAACTTTCCTTCAACGGTGGCCAATTCGAGAACATTGTCGAGTGAGTAGCTCAGTTTGAATTTGACGTCAGCGAATGGTTTCAATTGATGGTTTTGTTGGTTTTGTTGACGGAATTCATCGGCTGTTTGGTATTTGGCATCGACTTGCAAGTACATAGCTTTGCTTGGTGAGCCCGATGTGGATTTCTGGGCGAAGAATAGAATGCGGGATTTTCCTTCAGTCTTGCTTGATACGCCTGAGATTGTGGCAACGTATTGAAGTTTCTTCTGTCCAACGAATTCAACCGAAACATCCAAAACATCAGCGCCATTTGTTGCGGGTATGCCTGAAATGGGAGAGTATTTTCGATTTTCATTACAAAAATATAAAGAAAAACTTATTCAAATCGCGTGGAAAGAGTGATTCAAAGTGGTAAATGAATGATCGGAAGAAATCGGATTGATTAGCATACCTTCAGCGGCGTTGCGCATGAATTGTTCACGGCGTGGTTGGCTGTTTGATTCGGTTGCGACTGGGATGGCCAAGTGTTCGCTTCCATCAGCTGATTGTCCTCTGGCTCTTGGGTGAGTTGATTTTTGTTGGTAGGTGTATTGGTTCTGGCCATTGACGGATTCGCTGTCGTATTTAAAGGTGAATTTGGTGGCTTTGGTGGTTGATCGTTTGGCATCCAACATAACATTGAGTGAGTAGTGTTGTGGTGACATGTATTGTTGGCCGAACATAAAGAATGAGGTCAAACCGTGGTTGCGCAATTGCTTGAACACGTTGGCGATTTGGTTTGAGTCCCTTTCTTGTGTTCCCTTCATAACGAACACGTAGCCAGTTTCGTTTTCGCCAAGCTCATTGTTCGATTCGCGAATTGGACGTGAGTGAATTTCCTTAGTGTGTTGGGATTCAGGCAATGGACGGAAGTCGAAGATGTTGTCGCGGGCGGTGAATGGCCATGAGCCCATTTGCAAGACTTTCGTGGATTTTTCGGCGTTCAGTGGCTTGAATTCGGTTTTGATTTCATGGTTGAGCAGATCAATGTCGCTTGAAATACGAATTGGGACATGGACTTGTACCTTCTTATCGTAGCCGGCTGTATAGCGTTGGCTTGTGCTTGGATTGATGAATGAAAGTATCACTTCGCTGTTGACAGCGTAGACGGCATCGATTTCACCAGTTACGTTAACAGTCTCTGGCATGCGAATCTGATTTTCAGCGTTGTCAACCATATCGGGGTTGGAGCGAACACGAATCTGGCCGTTAACTTGAACAAGCATTGGCGTACGGAAAGTGAATGTGAATGGAATACCGGTTTCAAGTGGGAATGAGATCGTAACATCGTCTTGATTGTAGAATTTGGTGTATTTAACATCGGCACCGTTGCGGAGTTCGTTGACGATCTTCATAATTTGGTGTGGGTTCTGTGCGAATGATTGTTTGTCGAAGGCAAAGAAGCGTTTCGATCCAAGAATGTCGAAGAAGATTTGTCCTTCCAATTGTTGTTTGGCTTGGTTTGGTTTCATGTTCAACAAGCTCATGATTTTCTTGGCTGACCAAACGGACTGTTGTTGGGTGGAGTCTTCGTTGTAGTTGTAGTAGCCGTAGTTGTTTCCATTTTGGTTGTTTTGGCGGCCCGATGATTTCGATGAGTTGATATTGTCGTTGAATGCGTTGATCAACTCTTCGACGCTTGAGACGATGGCTTGGTATTCTGCACGGCGAGCGAATGCACCGAGGTGTGCAACTGTGTTGACATAAACTCCGCTTGGAATGAAACTGTCACCATTGACGAAGTAGCTCGATTGTTGTTCGTATGCAGCATCAATTTGGCTGATGGTGTAGTCGCGCAAGTAGGTGCGTGAGTATTGGACTCCTTGTTTCTCTGGTTTGAGTAAGTTCAAGGCAGCTTTAGCGTTGCGGGCGAGTTCAATGTTCTTTGGGTTGGTCAAACGTGCGGCCGATTCCAAAGCTGATCGGACAGCGGCACGAACGTCGTTACTCTCTTCGGTGTTTGTCTCTTCGGCCAAGCGTTGAAGAACAGATGCAGTTGGATTGGCGCGGATCAGTTGGAAGACGGCAGCCGAACGGACTTCATTAGTTTCGCCTTTGTTTTGGTACAGTTTGTAGGTAATCACCTGACCCTCCTTATAGTTGTTAACCATGTATTTGTCCATTGCCAAAACGATGGCCAAACGCTGGAAATCACTTACACGCTCTTCACCGGTCAAATATGGTTCGAATACGTTTGCAACGTCTGAGTGTCCCAAGTTACCCAAAGCACGGATTGCATACAATGTGTTTGCAGCATCTTGTTCTTTGACATAGCTGTCGAGCAATTGGGCAAAGTATGGAATAACCTTTTCAGATACGAATTTACTGTCACGATCAGCCAAGCGGCCGTAGGTGTTGACTGGATAGTATTTGCTGGAGGCTTTATTGTTCGTTTGACCACGGAACATGAAACGAGTGAATGCGATACCGGCGGTTGTGTTGACATTCCATTGGTTTTTAACGGCATCATTTTTCACGAAATCCTGCAAACAAAATAAAGATAGAAAAGTTATCAGATAATGTGAGATTTTTAAAAGAAAATCTAAAATTTCAACAATTCATAATAGCTTCAACGAAAACGTCAACTCACAAAGAATCGTTGTTGCATCTCTTGGGTTGGCTCGCGAATGGTTTTTGGGAATGCGGCGATCACTTCAGCAGCTTCTTCACCCTTTAATTTACCTTCTTCGATCCATCCCATCAATTCGTTGATGGCTGGTCCAGTTCCGGCGCTCAATAAAGCATCGCGGTACACTTTGCAGCTTTTTTCCGATGTTTGTTGGTCTTGTTGCTCGAAATAACGGGTCGTTTGTTCGATTTGTTCGGCGTTCATGGTGCGAATGACTTTGGTCAAAACGTTAAACTTGCGAAGTGTGTACTTGACGGGCATTTCACTAACTTCTTGCAAATCTTGTACGATTTCAGCGACGAGCTTTTGAACTTCAGTTGGTGCGTTGAACTGCTTTCGGTTTTGGATTGATTGACCTTTGTAGCCAACGAAGTAATTGAGAAATGGGTTTTCTGGGGCGTTCTTCAATGTTGGTTTTGGCTGGTAGTATTCTTGATGCTCATCGATTGACTCATCTTCATAGCCGTCAACATTGTTTTGGTTCGATTTGCGTTGTCCGATTGAACGAGGGTTGCGCCATTTTTTCTCAATGGCTACATTAGAATCGTAGTCGTCGTTCTCCTCACTTTCGGATGAATCTGGTTTTGGGCGAATGGAGTTTTTCGAGTCTGATGGCAAGTCGTATGAGTAGACGAGGTTACCAACATCGATCAATTGCTCGGTTTGAATTTGTGGTTTGCTTTGGGTCTCTTCCATCGACACCAATGTCAAGTTGACCTGGCTCACGACCATTGAATCATGTTGAGTGTCTTTTTCTGCATGGGAGAAAAGGGGAATTTCGATTTTTCAGTTATTAGAGCGAATATCAAATGATGGAACGTATTCCGTGTGAAATGATGCGAGACTCACCTGGGTTAGCTTTGACAACGCGGTTTGTGGTGACCGATGATCGGATGGTGAACTTCTCGAATGATCCAGAGATGATGATGCGGCTGACGGCTGATCTTGTGAGACTACCCATGAGGTTGGAGCTTGGTTTCCATTCGTTCATTCCGTGAATTCCAAAGTGGTAGCCCAAACGTTGTTCGCAATTGGTGTAGTTCTTGGTTTTGTACACTTCATAAAAGTGTTCACCTTGTTGCAATTGAACATTTGAATCGTATTCTGGGTAGGCTTGAGCCAAATACAATGGCACACGGGAGATATCGTAGAATGATTCGCATTTGCCAGTCACCGTTGGTTCCATGACTTTGAATAGCGCCTGGTTGTGGTTGTCCTCGTTGTCTTGGTTCTGTGGCAAATGGTTATCTTGGCTTTCCATTGCGTTTCTGGCCTGAATGTCGACTTGCAATTGACTGAGGATACTCTTCAGTTGGTTCAATTCGACGTTGGTCATTTGTTTGTCGACGGCAATGCTATGGATGACACCTTCGTTCAAACGGATCTCGAATGGCTTTGAGTTTATTTCCATTGGGCGGTACGAAAGCTTTTCTTCTGGCAGGTGCTTAGCTGGGCCTTCGGGCAATGCGTCATGCCACTCGCTCTGCTCTCCGTTTTGCAGCTTACCAATCAAGACGTCATTTGAGAATGGGGCAATGATCAAATCGGCTTTGGTGTATGTACCGACCCATTGATTCTTCAAATTCGGGATAGCAGCTACGGATTGAGTGTGAACCTTGTAACGATACTGCGTTTGCTGTTGCCAGGCTCCATCATGTTGCTTGGCCGCGCCGAGCGCAACTAAAAACAAACACAAAACAAATGCACACAAAAATAATTAGTTAAATTCAAATCGAATCATTTTGAATGAAAGAAAACGCTGTCATTTTTGGCCATTTAACAATGTAGAGATTTCTCATAAGTGTATAGCAAAGTTTGATTTTTTCAAAAGAAAAATCCCAAACTTCCTCAAAGACACTGAACGACTCCTACTTGTAAAACACAAATCACAAAATGTGGAGACCAGAAAATCGACGATGCTTTTCACTATTTTTCAGTCACAATCAAACTGAACAATCTTCATAGTCTAGCAGAAATTCATTATTTTCTCACACTGTCACTTCACTTGAAAATGTCTTACCCAAGAAACAAAGTATGACTGCTGTCTTCATCATGAACTGCCAATTCGAATCCAATTCCAATTTGCTTTGGTTTGTCGTAAGCTGATGAACTGTCTCACTAGGTTACCTACTGTTCAAAAGTGATCAGTGAAGTGATGTCCTGAGAAAAATAGCACCCCTTTTATACTTAATTCGTGGGATTGAAAAGTGTTTCATCAAATATCGATAGAGATTAGGTTTTTCGTGTCGATTACTTGCAATTGCAACAGATGTGTCGTATGTTCAGTGTTTACATGCATACATTTATTGCTTATGCCAAGCACTTTTCGGGCGTATGTTGCGAAAAAAATGTTTTCATTCGTAAGTAAGCCATCGTCGATGCACGTGCATGAAAAAAACAAATCCATTTCAATCCCATTCTTGAATGAAATCATTGAAGTCGTGACGAAATGCGCTGATAATATGCAAGTGTACCAGTCTAGACCTTTTCCCTATTTTTAATTAAGTTCAATGGCAGTTTCCTTGACGAACGAAACTATCATCAATATAACAATTTTAGTATACATGTGTGATACAAAGTAAACGCTAGAGATAACCATTGACCTATACCTTGCGATCGACTAGCCTTGAAATCAGCCATTCAATCGGTTCGAGTATTGACTCCGGCGGCAAAAGTGCATGGTAAGCGGTATAACAATCAACACTCAAACGGAATGTGTGCCAATCTCTGTGTGGTTTTCTTATCAATATGATAGAGGAGCGCAAAACGCGCAAACAAATCGAAAGCACTAGAAATCGAGATGCAATCATTTCCTATTCATTTTTGCATCGAAGCAGACAATTTTCGTTTCCATTTGAAAAGAAAAAAAAAAGATCCAAATTGGTCAAGACCTGTATGATAGCGAAAAGTAAAGAAAGGCACGAGTCAATTTCATTTTTTTTTATTAATCATTTTTGTATTCATTTTCAATTGTTCAGTGAAATTTGTTTTAGGTTTAATATTGTGTTTTGTTGTGTGAGTGAATATTGGAGTGAAGTAAATGCTTTCCTCTGTTTCGAAACGGTGATTTGTTTTACTTTTCTTCGCTTGGTGTTCGGCAGCCAATGGTTTTGGGAAAATTGTTCTATGGAAAAGACGCAAACAATTTCTGATTCATTTTCTCACAATGTTGCGATTATACAATTTAAAAAGTTCAACATGTAAATGGTTAAATTTGATGGCATCGATTTTTTTTTTTTTTGGCTGGACCGAGATCTTGTGTCACAAATCGCTTCCGATTTCGGAAAGAAAATCATAGAAGAACATTCGCTTAACTCCAGTGATTATTCAATAGCAATAATTAATAATAATAATGATGATAATAATAATAATCATAACTAATCGTATGTACGCATTCAAAGTAATGGTTTTTTTTCTCTTATGATTCTTCTCTTCTTTGTTTGTCGCCGTCTTCTTTATCATCATCAAATTTCTTTCTCTCGGTGTGTTCCATTCAAAGAAACAAACAAATCAAACTAAGTTTAGAGGAATGAACGAGAACAAACATATCCACACAATACACAGACATTGCTCTGAATGGGCTCAGAGATGTCTGCAGAATTTTTTTTCTTCTTGTTTTCATGTTTTTTGGTCATCATCTTTCTACTGGCAATACTTTTTTTGTTTGGTTTCTTGTCTTTAGTCATAAACATTTCTCTCTCGATTTATTTTCATTTCATGTGCAAAATGTTACAGACGCAAGCATGCACGTGTGCGCCCGTGATATCGCTCACAATGCAAAAATATCTTCATCAGGAAGATGTTTCTGTACATAGGTAAATGTTTTTGTGTTGGTTGCTGTTGTTGTTTATTTTAGAATTGCGAAAATTTCCTCTCATTTCTACACTTTGAATGGATCTTTGTCTAATTGAGTGTGTGTGTGTGTGTGTTTGTGCTTATTTTATTGATTCTCTCTTTTGTTTGCAAAATGTCTTTTTTTGAAAAGTACTCCATTGGATGATTGGCCGCCGTTTTTGTTGTTCTTGTTCTTGTGTGTGTTTGTATTTAGCGATTTCTTTTCGTTTGATTTGAATCGGATGTGGTTCTCCTCAGTTCAATAATGATAATCTAATAAACTTTTTGGTTCATCATAAATGTTGCACAATCTGTCCTTATACTCTAGCATTCAATGGTACATACAATTGTTTCTCTTTCATCGCCATTATTTTCACCTTCTTTTGTTGCATGATTGTAACTGGATTGTTTTTTGTTCGGTCTAAATCAATTCATATAATGTCTAAATCAATTCATCTGAGGCTCATTTTGTCCCATATGGTTTCTCTTTTTCTAGATTCGCATTTTTTTTGCCTTATTCATTCATTTCCATTTTGATTTACAAGAGAGAAAAAAAAAAACAAAATGATCACTAATGAAAATGACGATTGATTGTTCCATGTGAAACGAAACTATTGCAATGGGTCTACGTTTTGATTCAGTAACAATTTAGTTACAATAGTTGCTGATGGGCCCTATTTTTGAAGAGTGGTTACATGTATTTTAAACAATTTTTGCTTCTCTATATTCTCTCAAGATCAAGAGATCCATTCAAAAGAATCCAATTTCCATAAATCCAGAAGAATCCATGTAGAAAAAAGAAACAAATAACACGTACCCTTTGACAGGAAAACGGGAGTTGGGCAATCATCTAATGTGTGTGTATGGCTTATGTCATTTGTATGCTTTTGGCTGATTGATTGTTTGGTTTTTTGTTTTTCTTCCTTTCTCAGGGGAGTGCGTGATCAACATAAAATCACAAATCTATAATTATCTATATGTTTTCTAATATCAGCATAAAACGAAAGTAATTTCTTTCTCTATGTGTATCTTTCTTTGTCTCGCACATTGTCTCTCAGTTCAATAAATGAAAATGAACAGCACAGCGAAACGAAAAAAAAATAAAAATAAAGTACAGAACTCAGTGGTCAATTATTAGTTTTGTCCATATATATTTGTCGAATGTGCTAGGGGGGCGAAATATAATATAAAGCTTATTTTTGTCTCAACAAATTTGCATGAAATTACTTGATTTTTTTGTTTGTTTAAACTCATTTTTGTTATTCTCTCTTTCACTTGGTTCGTATTTTTCGTAGAAACACAAGTACTTCTTATTTAGTCATCTTAATAGATAGGTACATTTTCTAGTTAATTTTATTATGTGTGGTTTTTATTTTCTCCATTTCTTCTTCTCTGACTTAAACTATACAGTGGTTTTAATTTCATGTTTATTTTTTATCTCATTTAAATTTGGTTTTACTCTCTGGTTCGCTTATAAATCATGTGTTTTACATTCATCAAAATGAGCGTGATTGCTTTGCAATGGAATTCATTTCATTTTTTATTCTGTTTGGTTTTGTTTCTCTAATTTTCAATTCAAAACGCAATCGCTGCCGTTTTTTTTTTAAATATATATAGATTTTTTTTCTTCAGAATAACGCGCGACTCATTTCCGAATGTGGTCATTTTGGAGTGCATACATATTCACACATCGCATTTGCACGGGGGGATTTGTGTTTTGAGGGTTTGTGTTGAGATCAGCTCCTAATTGGAATTTTTCCTTCGTGTTTTTCATTTCATTTCTCTTCATTTTTGTGTGTGTGATGCTGCAAATGCATTTGTATTTATAAGCATTTCTATCGGCGGAACAATTATCTTAATTGTAAATTATTCACGGACTAGACTTCATTTTCTTTTTTCACTATACAAACTGTTTACAGTTGAATTAAAAATAAAAAAAAATCTGACTATAAATTAAAATCAAAATTTAAAAAAAAACTATCTCTTTGAACTGGATTTGTTTTTTTTGCTTTGGAATTGAAAAATCAAAAATCGATTTTTAAACCGAAATACATGTCGTCGAGATCGTTATTTGGAATGTGTTGATTTGGAAAATATCACAATAAAAAAGACAGAAAAATAAAATAAATAAATAGTGATGCTGCATCATTCAGTGTGTTAAGGGTGCTAAAAACAAATAAATTAATCATTAAATTAAATTAAGACGTTTAAGTGCTACAAATAAATTAAGGTCATTTGGTCTAGAAGAAACTAAAAAATTTGACTAGCTCATTCAGTTACAGCAGTTAGCAAACTATTACACAATGCTCATTATCTTCTCTACTCATCTCGTCTTCATCATTTTCTTTGGCTTCAATTTGAATCTATCTTCTTTTTTTACACACCACACATCATTTTCGCCGTCGATTTTACCGAAAAATTGCAATGCACTTTGAGTTCACTTAAATTTTTGTCAATGGCAAATCGATCAAAAATCGAATGATAATCGCCAATTATGATTACAATGAACTGGATGAATCTCTTCGATCAGAGGTCAGTTCAACGCACGTGTCATTACGTCTTTGTCAATCTTCAAGGTTCAAAGGTAGGTGGGAGAAAAAAAAGTAAAACATATTCATTTGTATAAATGGATGTGAATATGGAACAAAAACTGTTTTTTTTTCTATTTTTTCCTGTCTTTCTACTGCTTCTTGTTATCGCGATAAAGCTTGAACGGTAATCTTTTTTAGACTGATACTGAAAAAGTGTGAATTTCACACTGAAAACTCATTGTCAATGCAATGAACTAATCGAGGAATAATTGAAAAAATAATCATGAATCATCAATGAACGCAGCAAAGTTTGATGAACCGAAAAAATTTATTTTTTGAAGTATCGGCCCCAAAAAAGAGCTTTCAAATTTCAAAATAAAATCGAAACAAATTGACAAAGAAGCTCTTGATGCTTATCGCATTTGATGCGTTGATTTTTTTCATTCGATTTGTGATTGATTCGCTCGATTGCAACTGTATTCCCATGTGTTTTTTTCCTTCTTGTCTAATTGCATTTGATATGTAAAGGGCATCTAGTGTAAGTGATTGCAATATCAATAACAATATTTGATTCGACTTTGGAACGGCGCATAAAAAATCTCACACTGTGTCATCACCGTTTTGCAACTAATTTCATTTCGTTGGATATCAGTTTTTTTCTTCTTCTCATGTTTCAACTCTTTTTTTGTGTTTAAAATTCAGCGCGTGAATCACGAAGACGAATACATACATCGAAAATAGATAGAGGTGAGTTTTGAATGCTTAATAAATGAGTAGGGAGTAAAATGCATGAAGCGATAAACAATTGCGACGACCATGACAACGATGACAGAAAAAAAAATTAATGCGACGAGAATGAAATTTCAGAAAAAAACGAAGAAATTAAGGGAAAAAAGAGTGGAAAATATATAATCAAATGAAACATATTTCCATGACATATGACACAAAAGGGCATTTGAACGTCAACCAACAAAGAGAACGAAAAAAAAAAACGCACATACAAATCAAGCTCAAATAAAAACCGAAAACATTAGCTGTGTATTAGATGTAAATACATATAAAAGGGCGGACACCACGGCGACCGCAAGGCATAAAGGATTTTGTTTTTGTTGTTGTTGTAGTTCTTCTACTACTTTTTTTTCTCTCATTCTCTTTGTCTCTCGATAGATTTCTTCTTTTCTTCTTCTCAATGTTCAACAAAATGTTCACTATTCATCTATTGGTATTAGATAATTAATTCATTAATGTCTTGCTCCATTTTTTTTTTCAATATGATTTTTGTATGTTACACACAATTTGTCTCGCGCTTTTCGGTTCCAGAATCAACCTCATCCCATCGAATGGGGTTGCTACCTCATAATTTCTCTTTTTTGGTTGCTTTTTGCGTCAATGTATGAATCGTTTTGCTGTTCGGCTTGTGAAAAATTTCGGTTGTTACTGTTTTTGTTTCGTGAATGATTTAACTTTAGAAAACTAACATAATGCAATAATAATCTTTGTGCAACTATTATTTGACTTGAGGATTTTCATTCTCTCACACTGTGTTCGCTTCTTCTTTAATTTTCTTTTATTATTTGGCATTATTTACAATTTGTTCAGTTTTTTTTGTTCTGTTTAGTGGTTGAACATGTACATCCGTTTGGAATATTTTTTTTGTTCAGTGTTTTAGTCGTTCTCTATTTCTGCGTGTGTTTGTCCCGTTCTTCTGGGTTTTTTTTCGGTTTTAATTGCTGAAAAATTTCAAACACGATTCAGTTCGAGGTAAAACAGAGACGAAACGAATAAAACAATGCTGGCTCTGAGAAAATGTGTGTGTGTGAATGAAAAGCACTTGACGTACGGCGTAGAGAGCGATTTTAGCGGGTAGAATATATTGTATATTTCATATGGGAAGTGTTTTTTTTTTGGGATCAGCCTACTGAGTAGCAAATTTTTTTTTCCGTCAATTGTTCGCTCTTTTTTTCAACATGTAAATTTTCCATGAGTTTTATAAATAACGCGCGTGGTTTTTCCCCAAAAATTTTTCTCCTTCTTTTTAAAAAAATAAGAGACATTCTTCTGGAGCCATAAATCGCATCGTTTCTATTTGTGATAACAGACATGAGTATTATGCTTTGGTTTCAGGATTTGTCGGTCGACGCTAAATCGATTATTGTTTCACTTTTCGGATTTGTTCATTTCGGTGTTTGTCTGTATGAGTGAGTGAGTGTGTGTGTGTGTGTGTGTGTGTGTGATTAGCACGCGACTGAAAGGTGAATCAATTTACTTGGCATTGTTGCTGTTGCTGTTGTCATATCTGCATGTGGTCATTTGGCCCGATAGTATGATGCGCCCGGTTCGTTGTCATCGTCAACGAATGCATTGTCAAACATGCCACCAAATGTACGCAATACATATCTACTAATGTTTTGACTAGAACTAATTCTACTATGGTTATTATTGCTATTTATTCCATTATTGTTATTATCGTCATTAAAGTGATTAATCAGCTGATTACTCTTTTCAGCCTCATCAATGTTTGCACCGTATGATTCGGTGGCCAATAGACTGCTGCTTGTGTGATTTGTATTGACCATCGTTTTATTGTTGTTGTGATGATGCAGATGATGGTGATTCTGGTGTTGCTGTTGTTGATGTTGCTGCTGATGTTGCGGTTGCTGTTGATGCGATGATGGATGGTGACGATTCAGATGGCCTTGACTAGATGCCAGCATTGTTGTCGGCGGTTGAGCTCCTGGTGTATGTCACAACATATCCTGATCGTCTGGGTCGAGATCTAAATCATGTTCACCATCTAGATCCAAATCCATATCATCATCATCGCACACATCCAACGATGAATGATCATGTAAACCTGTTGAATTTTGGTTTAAAAAAAATCAGCGACTGATTAGTCTTTTCCCCCAAAAATTGCCTATAGCAAAATGGTTTATTCCATAAATTCAATAGACAAAATGTGTGTACCATTCTTTTCATTCTCATCCTTCCATTTGTCCATGGAGCGTCGGCGAGCGTTCATGAAAAAGTTGCCAACGGTTGTCGGTTCCAAGCCCAATTGCCGTGCAATCGTCACTTGCATCTCTTTTGACGGTCGCTTTGTCTCCTACACAAATTTCCATTCAAACCACATAAGTTTAAAAACAGCAAATTAGACTCATATTGAAATAATAATATTCTTTTGTATTTGATTCGATGCATTTGATTGAAATCAACAAATAAACAAAAAACAATAGCGTATAATTGCCGAAACTCACCTTGAATATTGCCTGTAGCGTGCGTCGTTGCAAGTCGGTAAACACGAGTCGCGGCTTTTTCGGTGACGATAAATGCTCCGCCACAACGGCTGGCAAATCCTCCTTTCGCTTGCATCCAGTCAATGGAATATCTGCACGAAAATCATTCGGATCTATTTACATTGATGGATTAGGAGCTTATCATACATAACGCACACACAAATATTGCTAATTGGCCAATTAATTTTGAAAAACATGAAATCATGAATAAACAACAGAATTCCGAGAGAAGAGCACATTTTCAACGGAAATCGGTTCTTCAATGGTAAAATTAGAAATGATAAACAACTTGGCCCGATGAAAAATAATGCGTAAAAATAATACTTACTGCCTCGTTGTGGAATTTGAGCGGCTGCAAAAGAAACGGAAGAAAGAGAAAATTTTCAGTTCAGAGAAAATTGGTAATTGGTGACGAAGGTAAAATTCATAAGCATAAAACTCAATATATTTCGAAAGTGAACTGGTTTTCGAGCAATTCGGCAACATTTGCACCATCATTTTTGGTGGTTGTTTGGTTCCCTCGCACACCACCACCACCACCCAACTTTCTCTATCGCTTTTGATTAATTAATTTTGGCTGCCACGAGCACATCCATTAACTACATTCGTTTGTCGTCACAAACTTGAAATGTGGCATTCGAAACGAGTGAAAGAGAAAACCGACGAAAAAAAAAACAGTGAATTAACCCAGCAACAACAACAACAGAGAGCCAGCACTATGGACGACTGGTGTTTAATGTCAGAATTGTAAAAGTATCACCACGTTACAGTTTTGTCCCGTGTTTTTTTTTCTTTAATCGTTTGCATATAGTTCAGGTACCGTAGCAATGGTTGTTGTTGAACTCATACTCTTTTTTTTGTCGTTCAAACAGCAGCTGCCAGGTGCCAAATATAAATTCGCCCTTATACTAGGCGAGCACTGTAACATTAAACCCTCCATATAAACCCATATCGTTCTTTTGTTTTAACCATTGCACACCGGCTTTGTTTCTTTTTCCATTCTATTTGCTCTCTTTCCCGTTCTCTCTCTCTCTCTCTCTCTCTCTCTCTCTCTCTCTCTCTCTTCATTTCCACTCTAATTTGTGCACATATATAAATCTAAAAACGATCCATACATTATTCATCGACTCATTCACATACACGAGTTCATTTACAAATCCTGATGTTTGCTCAAGTTTATGCATCGTGTTGTTAATACGAATGTCGAATTTTAATCTCAATGATCGAATAATTTTGATGGTGTTGGTTGTTTTCATCTGCATTGTCTCTCACTCACATCGAATGAAATTAGTTTTTTCGTATAAAAACAATTCGGCAATGAAACGAATGTCAAAAGTTCAAGTGCATTTGCATCCCGCATTTCAATCGGTATGCCTATGTTTTCAAATGGCGGGTGTTACAATTATCGATATGGGCATACAGAGAGTGTGTTTATTTCAATTTAAAATAAAATCCAAAGAAAAAAAGTTTGTTTACCTGCCATCCGTAGCGCTGACATACGCTGAAATTCAGGTTCTTGTAGCCACTTGAACATGCGTCGAAATGTTTCACGTCCCGATTTCAGTTTGGACCACGGTTTTGGATTTCGCAGCAGATCAGAGAGGGTGCCTTGTGACCGGCATAAAACACGTTGTGCAAATATTGCTTGCGGTATGCTGTATCTCTTTAGCTCGGCACTTATTCGCTGGGCCAACTCTTTTGTGTTTATCTCTTCAACTTCATTACTTATTGATGTGGCTGCGTTGATTGGTTCCATGGTGACATGACACACAAAATGAAAATGGAAATTTGTTTTTTCGTTTTTGTTTAAGCAAAAGGTGAATAAAATTGTCTCACTCTCACTCTCACTCTCTATTCTCCACTCATTCATTCAAGCAAAAATATAGAGTGAGTGTGAGTAGAAAAAAAAAAACAAATTTAACATGAAAAATCCATTTACCATTTTGTTGCTGCGATGATTGCTCCTGATTTTGTGCTGGCGGTACGTTATTCGATTGGTTTGTATTGCTTGTGATAGCATTGATGGCGTTGCCATTCATGGCTATTTGATGGGTTTGCGATTCATTGTGGGTTTTATCGAAAAAATCAGCGCCACTATTGCCACCACTACCGCCTCCGCCACCGCCGCCACTATTTCGATACGATCGTGTTTTTTCGAAAAATTCGTCGGGTGATTTCCGACATGCGGACGATTGATGCTGTTGCTGCTGTTGTTGTTGTTGTTGTTGTTGCTGCTGCTGTTGTTGCAGTGATGATTGCAAACCGATCGGAGGTGAATTAAATGAAGTTATGATTGAACCGCCTCCAACACTTCCACTCGGCGAATGTAAAGACACTGATTGGGGACTAGGACTTTGACTATGAACCTCCTAAGAACAAGAAAAAAAGAAAGTTGAAATTGAAATTCAATTTTTAAAGAGTTTCAATGCTGCTTGATAGATAGAGAGAGAGAGAGAGAGAGAGAGAGAGAGAGAGAGAGAGAGAGAAAGAGAGAGAGAAACGAGAAATGGTGGACAAACCTGAATTTGACGGGCACTGTTCAGTAGATCACGATGATCGGCCGCATATGCCGAATCATATTCATGTGGTGACATACTTTTCTGTGGTGAATGCAGCCCATTGCCGTTGCCGCTGAGTGTATTGGTTGGCGATGAGTAATTGTGTGGTGGCGACAGTCCCATTGTAGGCAATTTATCATAATATGGTGAATTAACGCCCATACACAAACTGATGCCCTGGCCCTGAATCTGTGATATTCCACTCGAATGACCGTACGAAAATTTATCAGACATTGTTGAGATCGGTGGTAGCGGTTGCAGTGGTGTTAACGTTGCATACGATGAATTCGGACTGAAGCCAGGTGGTGACATTTGCCCATTCACCGATGTTAACGTTTGATAGGTTGGCTCGTGCAGCGCACGAAAATCAGATGTATCAATCATTTCCGCGGAATTTGGTGTCATTTTACCGCTCGGACTGAGCAGTTGCGATGACGAATCATCGGGATCGTGTGAATCATCCTGCGGCTGTACAATTACCGATAATGCTTCATGTTGATACGGTTTCAGAAGCTTCGGTGATATCACACTCGAATCATTTAAATGGCGATGAGAAGAATGGTGCTGCAAGACGGGAAGAAAACATAAACGTATCGAATTAAAGAGAGGCGTAATGGAGATAAATGGTGGATTTTCCTCGGTATTTGGATGAAAATCATTGGAAATTTCTTCCCTATTCAAATGCTTTTTATAGCTTTCTTAAATTCCGGGATGCGTTTTAACACCCAATTTTATAATCCATGTAATGGTCTACTACTCACATTTTGGTGATGATGGTTAATTACATCGACTCCATCGTCATCGTCATGATCTAAATCATCATCTAGATGATCTGCAAATGGAAATGATGTTGAATACATTTTAATTGTTAATGTGACACAAACTTTTCGTGTCTGGCTCAATAAGCCAGCACACATTCTTTCAATGAACTCATCAATTGAGTTAGAAGTTTTAACGATTTTAAAATCCCTAAAGGCTATTTTATCGTTCTATTTGAGCTTTGAACTTTAGATAAATGGTCAACTTGTTTCAACATCAGTACTTTTTTGTTTTGTTTTGTTTTTTTTTTTTTTTGAATGAAATTGTTCAAAAAAAGGAGAAAATGAAGGAAAAAAACGGAAAAATGCAAACTTACCATCCGCCATAGCTGACGATGATGAGCCACAACCGATCAAATCGGATGATGACAGTTGATGTGTGGCTCGTTCCTGTTTCACCAGTTCCAGCCCAATATCACCACGGTGCATAATAATTCTAGACATTTTGTTTTGTGTTTGTTTGTTTGTGTTGAGTTTGTTTACAAACTAAGCAGCTTAAAATATTTTCGGCATTTAACTTAATGCCCAGACTAGTCAAATTGTATTTAGAATCGTAGCGAATTTCATCGAGAATAACGTTCCATCGGTGAAATGAAATGTATTCACTTTAGTGTTGAGACGTGCGCGGTATGTGTATTCCGTTTGTCAGAGGAGACAAAACAAAACACTTGCGAAAAACACCAAACAATCAAAACGCACTACACACCACCACCGGAAAAAAAATTATTTACACACAGTCAAATGTCAAATGTCCAATGATTTTGAATAGAAGAGAGCCGTCGTGATGTTACCGAATTCGGAAAGAAGGCGCATCCACCACTAAATTCTCGAAATTATCCTTTATACAGCGCGAAGAGAAAAAAAGGGAATAAAACGAAAATCCAAACCAAACAGCAACAACAAAATTTCAATGCGATTTTGAAACGAAAACTTTGAATGCGGCACACCACATTGATAGACCGGAGTGGTTGCCTCTCTTGTGTATTTATTCCACTGCGTTTCTTTTCACTTTATTTGCTTTCTCTTTCGCTCGTTCGCGCGCTCTGTGCTGATCGCTCGCTTTCTATCTTTTTTATTTGCCGAATAACACTGACATCACCATAGAGATGTCGTATACAGTTCGTTGCTTATGTTGAACGGATGAGACGCACCTGTCGCCACACTTGAGAGCTTTTCCTCTTCTATTTTGTTGTTGTTGCTGTTATTTTCTTTTTGTATATTTCTGTCTCGTTTTTTCCACGTTTTCGCTTTTCGAAATAAAAATTATTCTGCCGTCACAAAGGAACTTGTTTGAACAAAGTTCATCACACATTCACGGTATTTTCTTTTTTTCGGTATTTTCTTTGCAGTTCAGTTTTTGGTTTCAATTTTCATGGTTTTTTTTTCTTTCACTGCGAACAATTTTCACTAGACCGAAGGAAAAGGCAAACAACTTTATTTTTTCTATATTCCAAGATTCACTTATACACAAACACAGAGACAAGAATGTATTTTTCAGATAGAAAAAAATTCTTCTCTAAGATTGCACTTTATTTTTTAAACGATGAAAAAAAAATCATTCGGCGAAAACACAATTCAGCTTTCGTCCATTTTTTACAAATTGCACAAACACTCGAAATGTAAAGATGGTCATTCGCAGCAGAGAAGAAAATCGCATGGAATCGTGCCTTTTCGTCTGTTGTTGGATGTAAACTTGATGATGATGATGATGATGGTGGTGGTGAATAAAAATTCACTGCTTTCGAATCTGCTCTGTTTTTCTCTGTTTTCCTACCTCGTGCTGCTGTCGCCGTTTTGCATTTTCATATGGGCCTGAGTCTAGTCGTAGATTTCGTTTTTGTGATCCAAATGTAAATGGTTCATAGTCCGGCACAAGGTATCCAAAATCGTATGCATGTGGGTAAAGTGTCGCAGATTTTCGTCATTCGAGAAAAATGCAAAAAATAAAACGGTCCGAACCAAGGAAAGGAAGAGAAAGAAAATGGTATTTCGATTAGTGAACAGGCACAAAAGAGAAAGATATATAATATATATATATATATATATATAGTATTGTATTGTTTGGTTTGGTTTGGTTTGGTTTGGTTTGGTTTGGTTGTTTTTACAGTGTGTTGGTGTTCTTCTTTCTGCCGTAATTCGCAGTAAATTTAATTAAGCCCATGCATGTTATGGCTAACAATAAAGGCACTACATTAAAGAATACAATCTTAATTAGGACTCTGTTTCTACATTTTCTCTCGCGCAAATAACTCGACACATTCAAAGGCACACACACACACACACACACACTCACACAAAGAGAGAGAAGGAAAGAGAGAGAGAGACCATTCACCGCTCAAACAACGTTAAAATGGACGAGCAACCGTAGAAAACCGACACACCGAGGACTTTCAAATGAAAATGAAAAACGAATGATGCAAAAAAGTAGTAGGAATAGCAGAAGTTCATCGCTGATGTTTTACGCTCAAGATGATCATCGTTTAAGCCGTGTGAAATGCAATTAAAATAAATGCGAATGCCAAAAAGAAGAGCACGCATACACAAACACACATGTCGCATTCGGCGAGAACAATACTGATGGACAATGGGTTGAATAGTTATGACAACTGGAAATTCTGCCATCGTCGTCATCATCAACAGTCATACCATTCCCTTTTTTTAATTCTTTAAATTCAACATCAAAAGTTTAACTGGCTATATGATTAGTAAATTGTTCGTCACTAATTTTGATTTTTTTGGCATTAATCGCGGCTTTGCTTTATTTCTTCGGCTGTTTTTTTTGTTGTTGTCTTTCTTGTTCGTATTTCAATAAACTGATTCGGCTACATGCAGTCACCTAATCATGTTAAAATACACAATTGGAGACTAGCCATCAACAGTAACAACAAGAGCAGCAATAGCAGCAGCAGCACATATACAGTCGCTGTCACTGGATTTTTCGTTTCATTTTGACTGTATGTGCATTGAATGGGGCGATTGGATTTTTATAGTTTTCCTCTGGCTCAAAAGCAAAGCGAAAACATAGACACATGAAATGCGGCGTAACAAAACAACCATCAACCGAACGGAGTGTGAAGAAAACACACAAAATAGAATGTGTAGTAGTCGAAATAACATACAAGTCGGTGAGCATTTTTTTTAGAGAGAAAAAATGTAATTCTACCCTTATTTCCAGTATATTGCATTTTCGTGGCACAAGCGAGTGACTTATATTTCGAAAAATGGCATACAGACGAACAACATTACACGCCAATGGGAAACAATATTATACCCACACACACACACACACTGCGCCGCACATATATACATCGTTTCAGAGTGAAAACACAAACGAATCCATTTGAATAATAAATATGAGCGACAGCAGCACATTTTCGGCGCGCTCAGATATTTAGAATATACGGAATGAGAGAGCGAATGAAGGGAAAAAAGCGAGTGTGAGACAGAGATCAAGTGATGGAAAAGAAGGAATAAAGATAGAAACGGAGTGAAAAAATTGTGGTACGAAAAGGCGATATATATATATTAGGGCGGGTCGATTTTTTTTTCGACAATTTCCCTATGATTTCCGTATTCTATGGGTTATTTCAAGAAAATTTGCCCAAGGAACCATACCTCTATCGTTAAAATCGAGTCCCCTACTTTTTGTAGGTAGATTTTTTTCCAAAATTGACGTTCGTAAGAAATGTTACCTACACGTTCACATCCATAACTCAAAAACTATCGATCGGATCTAATCGCCAGTAGGCGCGTTGGAAAGGTGAGCTCATTCTGATCAATTTACAAAACAAAACCTCCAACATTGGTCCTACGGTTCAAAAGTTACGGGCATTTTTGTCCAAATTTTGAACCATTTTTCCATTTTTTTCATGATTTTGTCCAAAAATATTACTTTCATGGCCATTTTTTAGGCTCAATCCATTATTTTATTCAATTTACAATTCAAAACGAAGAGTTTAAGCCCAAATTTATCGAATTCGGTTGATTAGTTCAGGCGATATTGCTAAAACAAAATAACACTTAAAACCAACTTTTTGATTTTTTTTCCCCTTTTTATTTTTTTTTTCTACAAAAATTCAAATTAAGAGATAATAAAGTATCTATCAACCTATAATCAAAAAAAAAAATATTCAATTTGAGCGAAATATAACGTATTTTTTCAAAACAATACTCTTTATCAACATAAGTGTATAATATACACTGTATATCGACATGTGTTACAGATTACAAGCAACGCCACCATGCTTGACATGTGTGAGATCATACTTTATTGTTTACAACTCAATATAGGGACTGAATATCGGCGTAAAATGTGTTATTCCTATTGCGACGATTCAAATGGCTATTTTTCATATACGCACCAATACATTGTCACACACTGGCATCGTCTCTGTTGTGTTGAATGTATTGAGCCATTCTATCATGCACACCAAATCTGTCACACATCATTGCATAGTTTTTAGTATTGTATCTGTGAGTGTATGTTTGTGGTGATAGAACTTATTCTGAAACTCCTCTCACATCAACTTCCATTTCGTCATCATCTGGTGTGTATGTAGGATCGTTGCTCACTGGGATTGTTGGTATAGTCGTTGGTATCGTCTCTTCACTTCCACTATCGTGTTCCGGTATCGTTTGTATTCTGTCATTATATTGATCGCGCATGAAATAGTTTAAGTTTTCTGGGATAGATCCACATGAGCAGTCGTTTTCTTTCAAGTTGCATTTACATTTTCCAATGTTGAATAATTCGTTTGTTGATTCTACGAACTTTTGGAATTCTGTTGCGCGTTTTACTCGTTGTTTAACTGCATTATAATATGCGTCAATGAAAGCATTCAATTTTCTAATGATGCTACCTTTGAGTATAAGTTCAATATTAAGTTGACTCCAAATTTCGAACAATCTGTCTGCTACTTGGGGAGTAAGTGTTTTATACGAAAACATTTTGCTTAGGGCTTTTGAACGTTCGGCCAAGAAAAAAATAATACTTCAATATATCTCGTTTTGTTGACAGATTAATATCAGGTAATTCACAAGCCACGCCAAAAGAAAAAACATCATGAGAGAACAAATGTTGCAAACTACTGCGTTGGGTATCTGTTGGATCTTGCGATGAATCAGGCTCTGAATCCATTTTTTAAATCGTCACTAAAAGAATTAAATTTGTTTTTCATAGAATAATAATATAACTATTAACTATAATAGTAAGCAATGTTTTTACACTTACCTTTAAATCTGTTCTAAATTTCAAAATAGTTTGATTATTTGTTAGTTATTTCAAGTAACACTTCACTGAAATGACGCTCAAACAAAACTAGCATACACTGCAATATTATATGCTTTTTTTCATATACGCACCAATACATTGTCACACACTGGCATCGTCTCTGTTGTGTTGAATGTATTGTGAATTGCGCGCTCAACAACGTGCTCAATACATTCAACACAACAGAGACGATGCCAGTGTGTGACAATGTATTGGTGCGTATATGAAAAATAGCCATTTGAATCGTCGCAATAGGAATAACACATTTTACGCCGATATTCAGTCCCTATATTGAGTTGTAAACAATAAAGTATGATCTCACACATGTCAAGCATGGTGGCGTTGCTTGTAATCTGTAACACATGTCGATATACAGTGTATATTATACACTTATGTTGATAAAGAGTATTGTTTTGAAAAAATACGTTATATTTCGCTCAAATTGAATATTTTTTTTTTTGATTATAGGTTGATAGATACTTTATTATCTCTTAATTTGAATTTTTGTAGAAAAAAAAAATAAAAAGGGGAAAAAAAATCAAAAAGTTGGTTTTAAGTGTTATTTTGTTTTAGCAATATCGCCTGAACTAATCAACCGAATTCGATAAATTTGGGCTTAAACTCTTCGTTTTGAATTGTAAATTGAATAAAATAATGGATTGAGCCTAAAAAATGGCCATGAAAGTAATATTTTTGGACAAAATCATGAAAAAAATGGAAAAATGGTTCAAAATTTGGACAAAAATGCCCGTAACTTTTGAACCGTAGGACCAATGTTGGAGGTTTTGTTTTGTAAATTGATCAGAATGAGCTCACCTTTCCAACGCGCCTACTGGCGATTAGATCCGATCGATAGTTTTTGAGTTATGGATGTGAACGTGTAGGTAACATTTCTTACGAACGTCAATTTTGGAAAAAAATCTACCTACAAAAAGTAGGGGACTCGATTTTAACGATAGAGGTATGGTTCCTTGGGCAAATTTTCTTGAAATAACCCATAGAATACGGAAATCATAGGGAAATTGTCGAATTTTTTCACTCCCTACAAATCGACCCGCCCTAATATATATATTTCGGAAGAGAGTGGCAAATGAGCGACTAAACGAGCAGTGAACATCATAAGAAAGCACACGACTTGAGTGTGGATCCTGAGGAAAATGCAAAAAATGCAATTGACATCATGGCGAATTGAAATGTTTTCCTTTTTTGAAAACGGTATAGTAGAGCGGCAGAAGCAAGCAGAGGCAGTAAACGTGCCGTACCATAGTGAGTTGTGTGTGGTGCACATTAGTACGCAGTGAAAAACGGGAAGATATGCAGTGAATATGCGTGAATGCTTCGGTTCGGCGGGTAGGGGCTGTTGTGTATGAGTGCGGCAAGAGACGGTATTCAACCACTTTTATTTTATCCCTCGTTTTAGTCTCTTTAAACGTCCTTTTTTTCACTATTCCGTTTTTGGCACAAGCACAAACTCACCCACACAAGCTCACAGGCACATCGCCGAATGAAAGACAAACAAACTCTTACACACATACACACACACACGAGAAAACCTACTAATTTTTAGTCGCACGGAAAATGAAACGCTGAAATACGTATAAATATGCATTGCGCGTCTCAGTCACACTCACAGGCTAATGAGATCGGTTGGATTCAGTCGCACACGAGCTCGCTATCTCTCTACATGCAGGACTCATAGATCTATGTTATATGTATGTGTGTTTGCCTATGTGCATGTATGTGTGCGGAGGTTGTGTGTGTCCTCGGTGGATATTATTAAGAGAAAATGTTATACACTAGCAATAATGTAAATAATTTTTCCGTGATATATATATATATATATGCGTACAGAATGGGATAGTATATGCAAGAATGTGTATAACAGGAGTCATTTTCGCTTTCATGTGCGAACTCGTGCTACTCGTTCGTCTCTCGAGCCTCCTGCCTCTTCTCATTCTTCTTTCTTGCTTTGCTTTGCTGAGCTGGCTCTTATTTTATTTTTCGGCCTATGCCATTGCCATTTATTTCGTTCGGTTTGGTTCCGTTCTGTTCGTTTCAATTCCCATTCAAAGTTTCCACTTTGTCATTTATGAATGTTATAGGAGATTCCATTTATGGAAACGATACAGAGTATGTTGAATGCCGCATGAGAAATGAAAGTACACACCGAGATGGAGCGAGAGAGTGTGTGATGGGAAAGCGAACAAAACTATTATATTACGATGTGTGTAGTGTTTTATACCCTTAAACATTTTCTTAAAAAGCGTTTTGACCACCGAAACGGGGAAAACAACAACATAATGACAGAACCAGACCAAAACGACGAACCCAAGCAGAGAACGATTGTGAGAGTGAAATAACAACAACAACCATTCAGTTTCCATAGGTAATAATTACCATACATTATTCACGAAACTGATACAGGTTCTGTGTTTGAGTGATTGAAATCAGCCTCATGCTATAACTCAAATTCAATTCACGTTTCTCATTTTTTTTTCTTTTCTGCGGTTATTTCTTTTACTTTCGCTTTGGTTGTCCGGAATTTGCATCGTAGCGAAAAATAGAACTGAAATGAATGGCTTTGAATAACATATATCTTTTCTTTGGTATTGAGATTGCTCATTTAATCGGCGATTGCAGTCGAAATAAAAAAGAATGCTTAATTTATGTGTATCGCTGAAATATAATGGTTTCAAGATTATAAATTTACGACATGTGCGTTACTATCGCTACCGAGTAAACAAGTCGGATTTTGTTGTTAAGATTTCTGTTTTTTTGTTTATTGGGATTGTTTTCGGTTCTGCACCCGAAAATGCAAAACATTTTCATCATGTATATGCATGATTATGATTTTATTTGGATATTATTACATATATATATATATATATATATAGAATTGCTGGTTCTCGCCATATCGTCTCATTCGATCAATTCGGCATTTGTGATTTGTTGATTACTCAATGGGCAAAGCGAAATGAATCATTAGAGAAAATGGTTTGCGGCGAGAAAATCAAGATTCTGGTTTTTTCGAACAATTCTTAGCTTAAATTGCGTAGGACTATACAGAGAGAGAAAGAGAGAGAGAGATAGAGAAAGAGTGAAACTGAAAGAGAGGAAGAGAGAAAGGAAGTTTTAATTCGGTCGAAACAAAACTGAAAGCACGAAATCGTCTGTGGGAAAATTCGTTTTGGGTCGAACGACGAAAATTTATGACTGGAAAATTTTTCAAGCATTTTACAGCACCAACAAAACGGCGGCCACTTGTTTTTCCCTCTCTTTCTATCTCTCTTTCTCAGTCTCTCGCCAGTCTCTCTTATGCTATGCTTGTTGTCTTTCCATGTAACTTCCATTATTTTTAAGTTAAATTCCGTAATTTACGATGATACACACAAGCAAATGCTATTTACTCTGCCATTTTGTCCAAATCAAATCGCATGTTTTGTGTTTGGCTTCGTGTTTCTGGCGACCAACAACTTCAACACGACGATGAAATAAATACAGAGCAGAATGAAAACGACGACGATGACGAATGAAACGCAGAATGGAGCAATGAAGAAAGAAAAAAAACCATTGAAAAAAGTAACATGAAATTATGAATACTTTAAAGTTGTGTATACAAAAGTTTAATTGCACATACATAAATAATTTTTATGTACACACATTTTCGGTTGGTGTTGACGTGTATTTGTGTATGCGTGCGACGGCTATTGGTTCTCAGTCATATATTCTATCTCCGCCACTCAAAGGTCAGAAATAAATGTTCCATTCATTTTTATGGGAAAATCTTCATTTTTATCAGCCACGAACAGAACAAACAACATCAAGAAAGAACACAAAACAGCAACAGAACCATGTTACAATGATAGTAATTTTTGAAATGTTAAATCTCCATTTCAGTCTTGTTTTTTGTTTCTCTATTTTAGAGCATTTTGTTGTTGTTGTTGTTGTTGTTCAAGCGTGCTGTTTGTATGATTTTTGGGGCGGTGTGCTGCGCGAGGTAAGGCAGGCAATATTGAAGCGAACCATTCCTTTCAAATTCATAGAATTCACGCTAATTTACAAAAAAGTAGGCTTCAGTTTCATTCGTTTTAGTACTTGTACGTTTTTTTTTCGTTCGTTTGCATTTATTCCACTCATTTCGACAGTCACAATAATGACTTAATACGTTTAAGGAGGGAAGTCTTTGAAGTCACGTTACACACACACTCAGCATACACATCGAGAACAGGCAAATAGAAACGAATGCAGACCAAACTTGCATTTGCCGGCATTTTCATTGTAGTTTGACATTAAATGAGATAATTGTCAATTCAAAATCCAAATACGAATCAGCCGAATGAGATCAATAAAAAATGAGCTCTGATTCCTGTTGCTGTTGATGATTTTTCTAGTTGGAAAATAATTTATGAGTAAGCGAGGGTAAGTTTCGTCAAACTTTTCTATCCTTAAAAATTCCGAGCACGCATTCATTAAAACGCTGATTCGAAGTGAGCTTTTGGTAGCTTACCGCTACTGCTGGGCATAAACGATTTGATGTTCGAGACATTGAGATGATGATCATGGATTTGCATGGATTCGAAGAAATGTGCGATTTAGTTGGTGCTTCAAAGGAACAAAATAAAAAGCTTATGATTCGTCTGCCAGTTCAAATCAATGTTCCGCTTTTTTCTTCATGGCACGATTGTTTTGAATAAAAATAAAACAGAAGCAGCCACTCATTTTCACATCTACCAAAATGCCATAAAACAACTGAATGAAAAGAAAAAAAAAATTAAAGCACACATGTCAAATCGTATCCATCGTTACTATGCTATTTATATCATCTACTTGCTTGGTTGCCTGCTTGTTTTACGCGCTAGCCAGTGTGTGCGCGCGCCAGCTTAAGCATGAGTGAGAGCGCGTGATATGTATGCATATATAGATTTGATGTTTAGAAAAAAAACGAAGGCACAAGACACACGAGGCACACAAGTAACCCTATCCGAATAGAGTAGCAGCAGCAGCAGCACCAGTGGCAGTAGAGTTAAACCGTCCATTTATAAAATGGAATGAATATGTTAAATACTGAAAATACACACGAATATTAAATCACAAGCAACACAGGATGGCTTGTTCGTTCGTTCGTTTAGTGTGTAAGGCGCGCGCTCTCCCTGTGTGTGAGGAAACCTTTGCAAGCAATTTAGCGCTAAAGCAAACAACTGCACATAGCATTTTTCGCAAAGGAATACCATTGCTAAGCATTGTCAACACTACCACCGCCGCCATTCATTTGCACAATTTTCAGAAGAAGAAAAAAACAAGCGTAAAACTTAATCATAATGAAAAATCCACAGAACATACAGACACACAGTGGCAAATCTTAGAAAAGCTAAGGAAACCCAGAATGAATGCACATCACTCTCTGTGCTTTGTGTCTCTGTCGCTCTTTTGCGCCGCACTGTACATCCCCCTATCTGTGTCTCAATCGTAACATTCATTATTCGACTAGTGTGTATATTACACACAGTGTGGCAGAGACAGCCGTTTTCATGCTGTGCGCTCGCTCACGATGAGAAACGACCATTGCACATTGTTGTTGTGCGATTTTTGTCCCATTCTATCTTCTAGCACCACATATCTTCAGTCATCGTCATTTTCTTTCTCACAATGCGAATTTCCCGTTTTGCACCAGTTTCTTAATCAACATATTCATGCAACCGAAATCATATCTTTCATTTTTCTATATCTCGACGATTTTTATGCGAATAAAAATCTTGGCATTCGTTGTTCGCCCTTCATGTAGCCGATGATAGATGATATCATAATTTCAAAAAGTTCTTCTCTCAAAGGCTTGGGGTTGAATTATTTATTGACAAATATTATTCAATCTCTCTCTATCTCTGTCTTATATCTCTTGTGCCCCTTCCGTTTGAAGTGCATCCAAATCAATCGCAATTGGAATGGAATGAAATGCCATTGATATCATTCATATCAAAATAGAAACGAAATATAAACACTCTGGAGAGAAGTAGATACAGAGAGGCAGCGAGTAAGTGTTCGAGCAAGCGAGCGAGAGTTAGAGAAACAGCGAGAGACAGGAGTATTGCTGCAAGGCAACGGCAAACAATGTCGACATTCCAAAGTGGTTATTCGAATAATGCGAATGATTAAAATGCGGGTGCTTCGGTTTGCAAACGGCAACAAACCAGAAGAATACTATATTTGACTGGAATTCTACTAATGAAAGCACCTGTTCCGATTCGATATAGTTTTCGTTGAGTGTTCGATGGCTATGTTGTTGATAAAAAAAAAATTGGGTAAATCGAAACTGATTTCGATGATAGTGTTTGTCATTTGTGAGGTTTCGGCACTTTCACTTTGTGTTAGAGTTTTTCCCGTTTTCACTCTTGTTTCTTTTTCTATTCGGGTTGTACACACTCACACTTACAACTCTATACAGCACCTCAAAATTCGTGGTGTCGAAATACTGTCAATCAAGTTTTTGGTAGCACTAGCACACAATTTCCGGTTTGCCAACGCTGAAAATAATTCGCGACGACGACCACAACGAGCAAACTTTTGGTATTCCAAATTCCTCTTGTTCGCTTTCGTCCTGTTTTTCGCAATGCAACTAACATTTTGACTTATTCCTCAGCACACAGTATAACACACAAATCACGCACACGACAACGACAAGAGAATAAAATATAGAGAGAGAGACGTATAAAGTGACTGTCGGTACTCCATGAAGTAAATCACAAAACAAATTCAAATCTAGGCTATGGAAATGCTCTCTTTTCCAAATAATAACAGTAATTTTTCAACGAAAGTCACACGAAAACACCGCGACGAAATGAACTGCGGACAAAAAAGCAGCAGCAGCAGCAGCAGTAAAAGCAGTAGCAGTACAACCACCAACAAACAAACACACACACACTACAAATAACGGGAATAATGAAACGAACAAATGAATGTACCAGCAAGTGATAAATATCAAATAATAAACTTGGATTCACTTTTGTACCTTGAAATCAAGAGAAGAATATTATCCAGATATCCACCGAACAATAACAAAAACAACAACAACTTAAAAAATGAGTTTATTTTTCCTTTTTGTGTTAGCTTAGCAAAGAGTTTTTCTTTCTTTTATGTAAATTTCGTATTTAGCTGTTCGTACCGAATAAACATAATTATTTTTGATTCACTTCGGCGATGAAGACGAATTAAAAAAAAAAACCACAACAGCAGCAGCGCCGTCACATGCATATATATACGAATTGTTTTTGGCTAAAATAGAATTTCGAAAGCCAAACCAAAACCAACTAACTGAAGTGAGGAAAAAAAATACACACAGAATTTTATATGAATAAAAAAAAACAGAAACTAAGAACTGTATATGTTTATCAAAGCGCGATACGAATGTATGATTGCAGCAACAAAAACAACACACGACTAACAATCGTATATCTTCATTCGAGGCGAGATAGTACGAGTTACATTTAAAAAAACTGCTTCGCACACTGTCGAGGAATAGGAACCGAGGCGAACGAGTGGAAGAGCGAAGAAAAAAAAACAGTTTCATATAGAAATTTCCTCCATATCAACACACAGTGAACAACAACCACCATCACACCACCATCATCGACAACACATTTTCATTTTCAACAACAACCACCACACAAACAACCGACACATCGGATCGTATACACAAGCGCGCACAAATACATACACACACATGCACATCGAAAACACGGAAAACATCGTAACGAATACGAACTGATGCCATACGAAATGTACCGTAATAAATGCTTTACCAAATCTAACACGCTCCGCACGATGGAGGAAATGAACGAACAGAAGAGGAAAAAATACACTGAACCAAGCAATGTATACACATATTTGGGGGATAAAACAACAACATACACGTTTCAGTGAGAGAAAATACGACCGATAAAAAGAGACAGAAAAAAACAGGCATCAACACACTGAAAAAGCTGAAGAGAGAAAAAAAAGAAATTCATCGTATAACGGTGGTATATGGAAAAATTAAAGAGACTCACACACATATACATTCAAACCCTTATAATCACTCACATACACATACACACACGCACGCACACCGAATCGTTTGTTATGTGTGCGTGCATTTCTTATTCCAACAATAAAATATGATACGATTGGCACACATACAATCACACACCATTTTCGTTATTATTATTATGACTGTTATTCTAAATTGAATTTTGGACAGGGCTCAAAATGAAAACGAGCTATATTCGATGGTTGTGATATGTTTGTGTCATGTTGATTGTTTCACACATATATATGTATATGTGTGAGTGAAGTGAGAGAACATTTCAACTGGAGGGATGGAAAACATATATTGTTTCTTTGCACCGAACGGGGTTGCGCGCTGTATTTTGCACGAAAAAGTGAGCCATTGCCGAAAATGACCAGTCATTCGATACAAATGTGGACAATGTCGCCAAAACGAAATTTCATGAGCGTGCAATTATTTTGCACGAGACGAATATGTTTTTATTGCTGCAATTTTTTTTTAGGTTGAAAAAATTGTTTTTTGTCTGCAAAATGCTAGAAGATTTCTTCATTTGACGGAAAATCTGAACAATTTGGGAGAAAAAATTGAATTTTATTGAGAATTGTAACTGAGAATTAAATTGGAAGATCCAATTTGGAACTGTAGAAAGTTGAATCAGAATTTTTATGTTGTAATGACTATTCCATGGGTTGTATATCCAAAAAAAAAATCCAACAAAATTTCTTTCAACTTAACCAGTTTCAACGTTGAAAAATTCTGATTCCTTCAAAATGCGCATTTTCGTAACTGAACCATCTATTCGGAAAGTGCACCAACCAATGTCGCCAACACTGCCCAAAACACCATTTGGTGTGGTATCATTCAGTGTAATATACGATTCACAGTGGAGTTTACGCCAAATTGTTAAGATTATTTCAGAAAATTTCGACAAAACGGAGTCGCACGAGCATGATACACAAATGCACGCATACAATCTCATGCCCAAATGGTTGCGTGACTTTTCTTCACTCCGCGTATACATATTCACTCGTCTCGGTGGTTCGGTGTGTCTCTAATATCGTCTCTCCAAATGATGGTGGATAAATGGTAAGAAAACAGAGTGTGCCAAGAATCAAGAAATGATTTTTATTCCTTTATGCAAACGATTTGAATGTAAGATGAGAGCGCACGCGATTCGGTCAGGGAGAGGTAGGAGGGTGGTTGGTTGATGAACAAAGGCCGTGAATATTTGAAGCCAAAGTGTCAAAGAAAACCAATCGACGACTGAAAATTCCGAAAGGAAATGAGATTTGCCATTGAGATCAAGAGAGAGATCGTAGTAAATGACAACAGTTGTTCAATGGGGAAAACCGAGAATACACACACACACACATCGTCCAACCAAATGTAGTCACCCTATTCTCAGCCTGATGTTATTCCGTGTGCACAACATATAGTGTGTTGAAAATCAACCGCCGTTCCAAAGTGCATTGAAAACTCGCTCTCTCTATATCTCGCATAAAATGATCGCCGAACTGTGTCGGACTTGTTTTCCAAACAGAGGGTGAAATTTCTGTAAACCATCGCATAAGCGCGCACACCGCCTGACACAAAGCACCATAAACAGTAGCAGCAGTAGAAGCAACAGCAACGGCAAATGAAAAGTACGGAGAGCAAGCGAGAGAGCGGGGAAAAGGAAGTGTACGAGAGGGAGAGGGAGAGGGAGAGGGATAGGGATAGGAATACATGTTAAAAGGACGCATACGCCAAATGATACACATCACACACGTCGAGCGTGCTTACTTTACTTATACACACGTATATGTGTATGGTGGATATATTTATACACGAGAAGGGCATATATTTACACACGATATACGTGTTGTTTTTTTCCTTCTTCTTCTTTTTCTTTTTCTTCTTCTTTTTGTTCGTGTGTGCCTTTTATTGCATCGCGCGCGCGAGAATGAAGCAAAATACATCCCAAAATGAATCCAATTGGCGTATGTAGGAAGAATGATCTGGCACAATTTACGAAACACAATTTTTTTTTTTTTTTGAATGGACACACACCGCACCGAGAGAGAGAGAGAGAGAGAGAGAGATAGATGGAAAGTGGTCCAAAAATAAAATGTAGAAAAATGAAAGAAAAAAAAGCGAAGCGAACAGCAACAACAACGACGACGGCAACATTTCAGAATACCAAATTAGATTTTCAAGAGACACTTTCCATCCACTTGGTAGTTGGGGTGTGAGAGGCCGCGCATTCTATGGTGCATGAACTGAAATTGGATTCGCTGTATTTCTTTCATTTTCCTTTTTCCGTTGTGCCTCGCTGCTCGGTGCGTATTTATGTATGTCTTTTTTTCTGTCTTGCTCGCCGGACTAATTCAAAATTCTTATTAGAAGATTATGTTTATGATATCATGTGTGATGTGTGTTAGTGTGCTGGGTGACACATGCCAAATACTACGCACACACACGCGCCGCACTCTCACTCACCATTGCACTGTGTAGTGGCTGACATAATTTATATCCCGAGCTAGTTATAAAATTGGACTCTTATTTTCTCTGTTTCTTCTTCTTCTTCCTGCTTTTATGATTTTTCTTTATTTTTGTAATAATGGCATTGTTGTTGTTGTTATCTGATGTTCCTTCGATGATATGTGTGTGTGTGTGTGTGTGTTGGACTATATCGTCAAACACAAATTATTTATAAACATCCGTTCAATTTGAATAATTTTTTCGTAAATGTTGTAACGGGGTCGAATCAAAAAAATAACCCATCGAAGGGCCACACTAACAATATCCATCGCAACAACTGCCAAAGTGAATAAACAATACGACCAGTTCTAGCTAGAACATACCTAGGTAAAAACCCAAGAAGTATCTAAAGTGTATGCAACACCATTGGTTTTGATCTTGCTTCATTTTCTTCGATTGACAATCAAGACATTGCCGAAAGATGTAATTGAGTTATGAACATTTTTAATAGACTTAGCGATAATTTTGGGTAGAAAATGTATAGCATCAAAATGTTGTTGCTGCATCAACAGCGTTGAGATACGAGAAATTCAAATTGGCGCCGACACAAATGATCAACTTTGATTCGATTCAAAAGAGAGTAATTGACACATTTGGAATATCGCGCACTGGGTGTTTTTTATGCTTGATACACCGTTTGAAGAGTAAGGCAAATAAATTGCGTTGAAACTGGAATAAAATTCAGTCACTATCTCTCGCTCACGCGCTACACTTCCAACAGTGGAATGCTTCGTATACATGTATTTGGTTGGAACTCGATTGACCGAAGCGCCATCTAAAGAACCGATGGCGAATTCGTGATGTCTGTATGTTATACTTCAGTATGACGTTTGACAAAACGGAGAGTTTACTTGACTGTATTGTCATTAGCCTTAGATAATCTAGGTGGTGTTTGTGCTCAATATCAGTTGTCAAATTCAAAGTCAATAGGAGAGTTGTACACTTCACCTTCATTTGAAATTTGTTGATTGTTATTTATCGGAACAAAAAAGAGAATGAGAGAGAGAGAGAGAGGAAGGCGTCCATTGATTGGTTTGGCCCGAGGGCGCATCATATGCTTGGTGTGTTCATGTGTACAACTTTATCTCGGTATAGCACAAAAGTTTCGTCTTTTCTTGAACTTTCCTTAGAACTTGTTTGCGCCACTTTCCCTATATTCCAAACCAATGAAAAATAAACGCCTCCATGAACCACATCTCCCCTCACGCGCGCATACACACACACATACGCACATACGAAAGCGAGTTTTCCACCATAATTCGAATGGCGATCCCTTTGAATAACAACAATTACGCAAACATATATTGTCTTATGCAATTGGTATATTATCTAATCCATTCGAAAATGATCCGAATACCAATCAATTTTTCTTGTTTCCTCTTTTGGCGCTCCAATATTCTTTGCACCATTGTTTCGCCGAAAAGACGCCGTCGAATGTGTCGCAAGCCATCGTCTCAATTTGAAATTGAGAATCGTTCAACAATAGAGATACACACACAACAAAACCAACAACAAAACAAACCATGTAATTGAAACAAAACGCACAGTTTTGTAATCAGAGAACCGGTTCGAAGGCGGAGAGCGCGTGAGAGATAAAAAGACAGAGACAGAGAAAATGATACACGACAACCGAAACATATCATTTTGATCAGTCAATGATAGATAGCTGAGGATATATGCTGAGCATAGAAACTCAGCAAGCTAAGATTGGGATATTTTGACTTTGTGACGTGCTATTCAAACAAATTTATGATGGAGGGGAGTTTGGAACACATTTTCCATTACACTCCATGACTTCATCAACACTCCACCAAAATTCCATATAAATTTGCACGAATAGTAAGTCACAAAATCCAAACGTCCCAATCTCAGCTTGCTGAGTTCCTATGCTCAGCATATATCCTCAGCTATCTGTCATTGACTGATTTTGATTTTATATTATCCTTTGGAATCCTATTTATTGTCGCGCAAACGAGTGTGTGCGATTCCGTCACTCGTATGTAGAAAGCTTGCTCTCTATGCTGGTATGTAAGCTTCGAATCAGAAAGTCAGAGCGTGAGACGGAGAAAGAGAGAAATAGAAGAGAAGAAAAATGTTTATATGCGTAAATGCAAACTTGCGAATGTGGTGCGGATTTTTTTTCCTCTCTCCACTATTTGGATAGAGCATCGAGTTTAACTCCCTCAACTTCACACACATTTTCCTTTTCCGCTCTTTTTTCGTCATTGTGATTGCCTAACATTCGATCCGCAAGTGTGATAAGAACTTATTCGAAAGATGTCAATTTCGACTTAAATTCTGTCGAAGAAGAAAAGCTTCGGAATACCAAGGAAATTGACAATACCATGGGATATTCATTCTTTCTTCACGTTGGAAACGCTTGTTTTTTTTTAAACGGTTTTTCGACGTACAACTCAAAACGATTTGATTGAGTAAAACGCCAATTTAATGACTCCGTTCATAGATTGCTACGTGAATTTGTGGATTTAACGCGAAATTTATGAGATTTCCAAACTCGAATTGGGGAGCTTCAAGTCAAAAAAAGTCACTGAAATCAAACACGCATCACGCCTAATGGTACAAATGAATAATCTACAGTGTGGTTTTCCAGCAAAAGCTAACTTATCAACTAACAATGGTTTGGGCTGTCGATTGGTAGGCTTTGACAACACCATCACCAATGAAACACGTACATAATTGATGCCAGTTTCTCTTATACACCGAATAGTAGGCTTAATTTGTATATGTCCCGTTAGTTCATTTTCCCATTCACTCAATTTGCGATGATGGTTTTTCGTTAATCCTTCTCTTCTTTATAGTTTTTTATCGTTTTTGGACTGGGTGTTCTTTCCCACGTTTAATTTAACGCAAAACCAATTACAATATTAAAACCTATATCTCAATCACACGCGAAGAATCGTCACGGACTAAATCAAAAACACAAACCTAATGTTCTTATTTTGTTTTCGTTTTCGTTTTTATTTTTTTTTTGCTCGATTTTCTTTTTTCAAATAGATTTTTCTCCGTTTTTATCCTTTCTCCACCGAAATATGATGATATTTTTATACACGGAACGAAATAAAAAAATTAAAACAACAATCAAACACCGACGACGTTCCAAAACAAAACAAATCGCGTTTTGCCTAGTGTTTAAGCACTACCGAATGTACGGTGTACAATCCATTTGTTATCTATTGGCTGTGTACTCGCTTGTTACATTTTTTTTTCTTGTGTGCTCTTGCGCTCGCTCCCTCGATCTCTTTCTCTCCTGTTTCCGCTCTCTCCCTCTTGTCATACCACCACCATCAAGCAAACACACGCTTGTCACCATCAATCCGTATCCATTTTCTTCATCCACTTAATTCTCGCCCGCTCTCTCTCTCTCTCTATTTTCACAACATTTACTACCATCGCAGTGATGTCGCCACTGAGCTACAGACCATCAACCATCGTAGGTAATGTACCGTTAGGTTTTCTGCAATTTCTCTTCTTCAAACAAGGAAACTTTTTCATTTCAGACGAAGGCATAGCATGGAAGATTCGAGGGAATGATTTTTCACGTTTTTCTTTTCATTTGGAGTTAATTCGTTGAGAAAACATAATTTCTATTCCCGGGGAAAAAATAAAAAAAACACCCTTAACAAAGGTACTGGTCTTCGGCGGTGAACATGTCGAAAATTCCTACATCGATCAGAGTCAATGTGAAAAATATTCACTTGATTTTTACTTCAACGGAATACGAAATTGATTCTGAGCTTTGAAACAATGGCGACAAAAAGGTTTAATTGTCAAAACCTTCGAATTTCCGAACAAAAAGTCGAATTGAAATTTCAACCGTTTCAATTGAGTACGTCATTTTCTAATTGGATTACGTTCGATGAGTAGAAAGCAAAGTATTCACTGACATTTTGTTGAATTCATGACGAATTGAAATGAAATTCTCCTAAAATAAAAATCGTAAAATATTACGTAATGTTCAAGTGAATGCAATTGAATTTATACGAAAATTGCCAAACAATCGTTCAAGTGATAAATTTATTAGTTAAATTCTTGCCTGTGCAAATATCAAAGCAATGTGTGTTGCACAACGGTATTAGGCGATTGGTACTTGAAACTGTAGCTTAAGTATGATAGTTGGATATTTAACGATTGTAAAATACCAAAACAGTGTTTAAAATGGAATATGTATAAATGGGTGTTAAGTGCCCATGTGAACGTTTGACTGAGTTCTGTAAAGTACTCGTACGGCGAATGAGCGAAACAACTGAATGGGAGAGAACACGAAATGAATCAGAGCGAAAAGCAAATAGGCGAACGGCGAAATGTGTGTGTGTGTGTGTGTGTGAGAAAGCGAGTATTGAAGCGATCGAACGAAAAAAGGAGCAAGAGAATGAGGCAGACTTCGTATATGGAAATGACAAATACATGTGAGAGTGAGTTTTGCACGGGCGCATAGTATTTCTAATGCTTTGCAACACACCAACACATGCGCACCGCAACAACGTAAACACGCACAGACCCAGAGACACCGAAGAGCATTATGCGTGTGTGAGAGAGAGAGAGAGAGAGTCAGACCGAGCGAGAGAGAGTGTGTGAGAGCAGCGCATGAGAATTGACGAAATTCAGTGGGCAAACGGTGAAACACAAAGAAAACGAGCCAACAGCGGCGACATCGTTCACTAAAGTACATGCTTGCGAGCCATTTTTCAAGCAAGTAGTAATTTTTCAGCACCTAAACACACATTCACATCAGTTGCGTCGTCAATATCGAAAACCATATTGGTGGCTCTCTTGCTTGTTCAGTTTTCTTTTCAATTTATTCAGTTCATCTTAAATACATCGATTTAAGTCAAAAAGATAATTAAAAGAAAAAGAAACAACACATCATCCTTTTGTAATTCAACACACACAAAAAAAAAACCAAATAAAAAAATCAAAGAAAATTCCAAAACCGAAAAATTTTCTCAAAACAAAATCAACATATTCTTTGTGAAAGGTCCCCACCATTATTTCGGAACGAAATAAGAAAAAATAAAAACCAACAATTGTTTTTCATCAAGAGAACCGAACGAAGAAAAAAAAACCACACACACACACATACTTTTTGCTGGTTCATGAAACGACAGGCAATAGGAAACGAACAGAAAAAATAAGTTTTTTTTTCTTGCAATTTTCCATTTGAATTGCAAATCGAACATAAATTGAAAGGAAACTTTGACGAAAAGCAAGACAGAGATACAAATACACGAACAAGACAAACGGAACGAAACGGGAAAAAAGAGCACCCAGAAGGCGATCACATCGAACGAGCAAAGTAAAGCGAATCGAAGAAAAAAAAAACACTTTTTTTTTTTAACGCGAGTGTGATTCAAACAGTGAAACAAAATCGAACGAGTGTTAGAGACACCATCCAAAATCAATGATGTTTCCCAATGGCTATGGACACCCATTGTAAGTAAAATCTCTCTCTCATAACTCTATATCTACATTACTCTAAATCGACTATTTATTTTTCGGTTTTATATTTAAAAAAAAAATTCAATTTGTTGAGCTACCGATTCATTTTTTTTTCTTCCTCGATTCATTCGTTCGGCCTGTTAGTTTATTGAGGCAGAGAAATTTTATAGTTGAAACGAAAAAAAATTTTGTTGTTTCGATTGAAAATGCATCAAATAAAAATGGTGAATTTGATTGCGGTTCGGCCGAAAAAAATAAATGTGCAAATGTTTTGTAGCCGATGTCAAAACGTGTGCTCAGCAAAAATTCCAATTTTTTTCCGTTCATGTTCTGTTGGTCAATCACAGTGATAAACGAGAACTTAGTTACGTCGTGACGAAGGAAAAAAAATATTCCGCCATGACCGAATTTTTTTTCTTCTTTGTTGTTTGTTCAATAGAAGGGGAGGGGAATATTACCATTTGAGAGATATGCAACATTTTTTAATTTTGATTCTTTTTTCCTTTGCTGATGCTCATCATCATGATGACGTTTTTTTTTATTCATTTCATCTTTCTTTTTTCTACCGTAATATTTTCTCTAATTCTTTCGCTGCCATTTTGATGCGAACGTTTTGAGAATAAAATACCTCTATGTATATATATATATGTGTGTAGGAAAGAAAAAAATTTGCACATTTATTGCGGTTGCATGAATGCATTGAATCTGTTTGAAAACCAAGCACAGCAAATGGGAGAGAGTGCGAGATTTTGTGTGTATGTTTTATTTGTATGTGTGTGTGTGTGTGTGCTAAAAGCTGAACTATCATGTTTCTGTTCCGACTGAGTCGAGCCAAGAGTATGTGTACAGTTAGTCGACAGCGACGACGATGTCGACGACGTTTGTTTGAGCGCGACACATGCAATAGATATCAAATGTGGAGAGAGAAAGAGAGCGAAAGTGCGAGCGCGAGTGGTAGAGCGAGAAAAGACTAAAGAGAAATTGAGGGAACCGTGTGTTGCGAGAGACAGAGAAAACGGTGAAGGTGTTCGAGTGTCAACATGTACAATATCATTCTAAATTGATGAACACTAGCTATTTGTAGATTGAATCGACAATTCTATGCCCGAAAAAATACAGCAAAACAAATTAAATTGAGACAAATTTCATTATCAACATGAAATTTGAAACAGAAAACTTGCAAAATGAATCCATCGAATAAAGAAAGTCGATAAAATACACAGTTGTCTCAATCTCTTTCTCTCTCTCTCTCTCTCTCTCTCTCTCTCTCTCTCTCTCTCTCGGGATGAAACGAGTTGAACTTAACAGTGCGGCAACTGTTTATTTGCTATCTCTCTATTGAAACAACCGTTTGTCGTACACTTCGATTTATTGTCAAACTTACCTAAATATTTATTTAAACCATGCCAAATAACAACCAGTAGCTGGTCTGGACTAAAAAGAGACGCCATTGCTATGACTATTCGTTATATTATTATGATGATTCGTTAAGGCGAACAAGAAATTTTTTTTTATTGTAAACTCAGTTATATACATGCGTAATATACACTGTCTTCGATTATACACTAACAAATACATAAAAATCGGTTTTCAATTTCATGTTCTGAAATATATGTTTACGACAAGAGAATATAACGAAAAACCAACGATTTTTTTTCGCTGATTTCAGCTTTCGGCCCCAGCGCAGTGAAGGTCAAGAACAATTTGGCGGACCTCGTGTCTACCATCAAAACCATCAGTATCAGTATCCCGATTTCGGTCAAACGAATCGCTATGATCATCCACGTCCAGTGAGAGAATATCGTCCAGGTGCGCCACGCACAAATGGTGTCAACAATTCCGCCACTTACATCAATTCCAATAAATCGCAATACCATGCAAACAACGGCACAGCCGGACCACGATACAACAACTATGCATCCAAATTTGAAACGGTAAGTGGATTCGGAACGGTTTCACAGCGGCGTTAATTTCCAATAAGAACTATGAAACAAAGATTGTTATTGAATTTGTCATTTTTGTTTCTTTGTTTTTTTAAATTCAGGCCAATATGTCGAAAGAGGAACGTGCTCGATTGCAAAGCGAAAAAGCCAAAAATCCGGGCAAGGCATTGCGCATTCCCATTTGGGATAAATTGGAGCCATTCGAAAAGAATTTCTATGTGGTGCATGCTAACAATGCAACCCGTTCACAAGACGATGTTGATGCATTCCGCTCAACACTCCAGATCACTGTGTCGGGCAATGGATGTCCAGCACCAATTCAATCGTTCGAAGAGACCAATTTCCCCGAATCGGTCATGAAGGAAATGCAACGACAAGCATTCACACAACCCACGGCGATCCAATCGCAGGGATGGCCAATCGCATTGAGCGGCCGTGATATGGTTGGCATTGCACAAACGGGCAGTGGTAAAACACTTGCATACATGTTGCCTGCTATTGTGCACATTCAACACCAGAAACGCCTTCAGCGCGGTGATGGTCCAGTTGTTTTGGTGCTTGCACCAACACGTGAATTGGCACAACAAATCCAATCGGTTACGAGTGAATTTGGGCAATCAACCAGCCCATTGGTGCGTAATACATGCATTTTCGGTGGTTCACCAAAGGGACCACAGGCCCGTGATTTGGATCGTGGTGTTGAGGTTGTCATTGCCACACCCGGACGATTGATTGACTTCCTTGAACGTGGAATCACAAATCTTGCTCGTTGTACATACCTTGTACTCGATGAAGCTGATCGCATGCTTGACATGGGCTTTGAGCCACAAATCCGCAAAATCATCGAACAGATTCGCCCCGATCGCCAAGTGTTGATGTGGTCGGCTACATGGCCAAAAGAGGTAAAACCAACAAATCATTTTGATTGAATCACAGTTTTTTCTTTCATTTGATTTTTCTGTTTGCTCCAACTAACTCTATGTGTGTTTTTTTTCCTCTACTTTTCACAGGTTCAAGCACTTGCCGAAGACTTCCTTGGCGATTACATCATGATTCGCGTTGGATCATTGAGCTTGGCTGCAAACCATAATATCCGTCAAATCATTCAAATTTGTCAAGAAGAAGAGAAAGAACAGCGCATCATTAAGCTATTGAAAGACATTGCAGCTGATCGTAACAATAAAATTATTGTATTCGTCGAAACGAAAAAGAAGGTCGAAGACGTTTTGAAATTGATTCGTCGCGAAAATTTTGCAGCCCTCTCAATCCATGGTGATAAATCACAAATGGAACGTGATTCTGTTCTAAATGATTTCCGTTGCGGAAAATCATCGATTTTGATCGCAACTGACGTAGCAGCTAGAGGTTTAGATGTTGAAGACGTTAAATATGTCATCAATTATGATTATCCAAATTCATCGGAGGATTATATTCATCGTATTGGACGAACTGGTCGGTGTCAACAGTCGGGCACCGCCTATACATTCTTCACCAACTCGAATGCACGGCAAGCCCGTGAATTGGTTGGCGTTTTGGAAGAGGCCGGCCAAAATCCAGAGACCGCACTTCTCGAATTGGCTCGCATGAACGGTGGCGGCAAAAATGGATCTCGATCACGCTATAACATTCGTCCACAAAATGGTTATGGAATGAATAAACAGGTAAGAAAGAGAGAGATAAGACATTTGCTTTTTCATTTTTTATTCCTTTTCTTTGAAAAAAAAAATAAACATTTTCTTCACATTTTTTCTTGTCATGACATTCCTTCAGGATATTTCTTTTAGGTTTTATCGTTCAATTTATGTTTCAATTCATTCTGGATTTTCGAAAATTAAAAATCATTTTTCGTTTAATTTTTTTCTTCGACCTTCATTTGATTTATCTAACGCATTTCTGGATAATTCCTCGTTGCAACGAAATGCATTTGAATTTCACAACAATGCGCAAACTAATTTCACTAATAATTTAAAATTTGAATTTTGTCAGCCACTGATGAATGGAATGTACAATGGCATTCACAAAAATCACATGAACCCACGACCCAACTCATGGCAACAGCCCATGCAACACCAACAGCAAGTAAGGATTACAAAAGTTTTGTCTATTTTAACATTCAATCCCTTGAAAGAGGCCCCTTCCTCTCAAAAAACTCAGACAGCTTCGCAAAAAAAAATTAAAAACAACCAAAGTTCGTCTGTAATTTCTACCCATTTCATTTATTTTAATATTTTCAATGCTCTTCCCATACGCATTTAGCCACATCAGCGATTGGATCGTAACCAAACGATTCCAAATGGTGTGTGCAAACCGTATGAAAATAATTATACAAAGACATATGAAGGCAGTACATGGCGTGGATCACAACCAGAAGGAAGCGGCAATGTTGAGCGTTATGGCCAGAAGCAGCCGACTCCACGTTTCCAAGGCACCAATCCACAGTACAATGGACACCAAACGGAGGTCGTACAAAATGGTGCCGATGGCAAACCATTGCGGCAACCACGACCAAACAACTACCAGAATCGTCAGAACGGTACATATGTGCCACGGACTAACAACAATCCAGCGGCCGCTGGTGCTCATCAGGCTCCGTACGGCATGAATCCAAATGTGAACGGATACCAAGGAAACCGCGGCAAACCAGAGGTAAGTGAATTTCAATGGAAAACAACTTCTTCTCTTAGCAAAAACTGAATTGATTTAACGCAAATTGTCACGTTCAAAATCTTTGTTTCTCGAATAATAACCTAAAATGTGTTTGTTTTGAAATTGTTACAGGGTTTCTATCAAAACCGTAATCCAAACAATCGCTACCAAGGTGGTCCAGCTGGTGCTATGCAAACTGGCAATTATCATCATCGCAATCCATACACACAGCAGCCAAATGCAAATGGCGTGAACCCGAACACCGGTATTATTGTTGACGGTGGCGCAGCACCGCACATCAACGGTGATGCATCACCAAATTCAATCAATGTCGATCCATACAATGGAAACGCCGATGATTTGCAATCACAACAACAACCGGTATGTAACGCAGTTTCCATAACAAAATAACGGCATTTTGGTAGTTGAAGTCAGCGGATTTATGGTATTTCTTTGTCTTTTTTTGTTTCAGCAGCAAGCTGCTGCTCAGCAACCAGCTCCAGCTCAAGCGTACAGCTCAACTGGATACCCAGCTGCACCATCTCCAAACGCCCTTTACTCTGGCCAATACATGGTTGATGCTGGCGTTCAAAACATTATCGGTATGTACAAATTTCATTCTTCAATGCCGAAATCAAAACAAAGGGGGAATTCAGGAATTTAGAAAACCAAACGAGTCAAAATCAATTCGCGACAATGACTATTATCTGGCTTTAAAATCTCGATTTGGACACATGGTTTTAGTAACGAAAAAAAAAAATACAACAAAATTAGTTTAGAATGCGCTTGCAATCAATTCGGAAAATAAATAGATTTATTTCGTACGCTGGTCGTCGTACAAGTTTCTTGCAAATTGCAAATGAATTATCAAAATTTCACATTTAAGACCGAAAATTGTTTTTAAGGACGAATGTGTGAATGAGACATTTTGCGACAACAAAAGTGTTTTTGTTAAGCGAAACCAAAAGAAAAATTGATAGTGCAAATACGAGTTTGGTGAATTGCGAACAAAAAAAAACGTGTACGCCTCGCGCCTCATAGACACAACTAGACACAGAAAGTCATAATGTAAGGGTCTCTTTTGACAAGAGTCTTTCATTTTCTGTCTGTTCACAGGGAGTCGTTTCTTCCCAAATGCACGTGGAATGGCACACGGCCCATTGCAACAACCACCGACACAATCGCAACAGACAAATTCGTGCGGTTTTCAGAGCATAACACAGCACACGCCGTCACCAATGCCATCGCTAAATGGTAACGTGCCCACTCACTCACTCACTCTCTCACAATTTAGTTTAATATTAATTTAAAGAGCAAAAACAAAAACAAAGCTCACCCGGTGTTCAAGTGATCGTTTTCAATTGGCTTTTTATGATGGAATCAAACAGAAAAAAATAATAATTAATGTTGCGCGCGTACGATGAAAATGCACGCGCCATATCACTTTGTTTTGAGATCCAAACACACATACACACATAAAAAATTCTTAGTTCATAATTGGTTTTTATTCCCTTTCGTTTTTGTGAAATCAGTTGTAATGGCTTTGTCGCGCGCTTTCCAAACCTAACACACATACACACACACACACACAAACACACACAAATATAGACAAAATTAATGGCTAGAAATTCAATTCCAAAAGCCAATTTGCTTTTTTAATTAAATGCTTGCGAATGTGAATTCGTATTTAGGGTTTCGAGGATATTGCGCGCAGATTCATGGGGGAATGTATTTTATTTGTTTTGTCTCTTTTGCTATCACTCTCTCTCTCTCTATCTATCTCATGTATTCATTTCCTTACCAAAACAGAAAAAAGAACGAATAACCCAAATCATCTGGTGAACATTTAAAATTCACTGAATGTCATTACCCATTTTTTTTTGTGGCTTTTCAAAATATTTCTTTTTTCTTTTGTCGTTGTTCGTTTTTTCCTCTCGTGTTTTCATCGTAAATTCTTTGGTTAATAATTCTAACATTGTATTTCAGCTGCTCCATACGGTCAATATGCGCCATCAGCCTACTATCAATACACACCACCAACCGCTGCGGTTCAACAATAAATCGTTTGACAACGATTTCACAATTAAAATCTTACCAATTTTTTCTCCACCTGTAATTGAAAATCAAACAATTAACCAGCTGGCTTTACCAACACCCCAAAATCGAAAGAAAAAACAACCGAAACGCAAAAATTCAATATCTCCAGAAACAGCAGCCACAGCAACACGAAAAAAACCAAACACACGGGCAAATGATCGAAACCGAGAGCAGAGCCATTCATTACACTCTGTCTCCATTGTTCGAGCAGACATCAATGTCGTCCATAAATTATTGAAAACTCTCTGCAAAGAAAACAACCACAAACACACAACACAAAAAAACCGACATAATTTTTTTTGTTTTGGGGTAAGTAAAGTTTCGACCGCTTTCGGTCACACTTTCAACTTACGCATTATTCGTAATTTAATTAATTAATTTCTTTCTTTGAAAACACAACAAAAAAAAACAACCCTAATTTTAAGTGTAAAAGTTCTTTATCAAACTTGTATTTTGGAAGAAGAAAAAAAAACAAATTTAGAAGAAGATGAAGAGAAACGAAACAAAAAAAGAAATTCTGAGAATTTCGCGAAAACGAAATATGTGATGGCGAACGATTTGGTTGTAGTTAAACATATAAACACACGGATCAATGTAACGAATTTTTGCTCTCGCTTTCAAGAGGATTTTTAATCAATTTTTTTTTCTGTTCGTTTTGAATTAGACAACATTGTAAATCAAGAGCAAAGAAACAAACAAAACATATTTTGTGGAAACGAAATTGAAAAAAAAAAAACCATAAGGAAGAAGAAAAAATATCGAAACATATTTAGAAAAGCAACCGGCAATGCAAGCATTTACCGAAGAAATTTCTTTTAAGAAACCCAAAATTTATTTTCCATTTGAAATGAAAGAAAAATACGAAAATTTCAAAACATTGTTGTTTCTCTCTTTATCGATTATTTCTCGCACATTTCAATGAAATGGACACAAACTATTTAACCAAAAAAGAAATATTTATATGAAAAGAAAGTGTTTTTTTAGAACAAAAATAATCGAGAAATGGTTACAAATCCACGCAAAACAAAAGTATTGTACTAGTTAATTGTCAAACAAAACACATTTTATGTAACAATGCCGAAAGAAACACATTTAGTAACCTTAATCAATTTACACAGAATGCCAGTTGTTGGTAATTTGTGTGCATTTCATTTCATATTGAAATTGTTTTATTTTCGCTCTCCAATTATTCTGATTGAAAATGTGTATACCAAAAGAAGAAGAAAACAAAATGTGATTTCGATAAATATTGCTTGCCGTATGTTTCTCACTCTCGCCAATACTCAGAATCTTCTCTTCTTTATTATTTAGAATGAAATAAAAACACAAATCTCTCTCAAACACATACACTCACTCACTTTTGAGTTGAAATGTCCGAAAAAAGGGAAAAAAAGAGAAATTCATTTAACAAACCACAACAAATTATTAAATCTATTAATACAAATGGTATGAAAAGAAAGAAAAAAAAATTTTTTTTTAGCTTGTAAGAAAAATCCAACATCAAACAGCACATAATGTTATATTTCAACAAACAAAAATAAAGTTTCATGTAAAATATTGTGAATGAATTCGGTCAACAGCAGACGTATGTTGATTGCCGTTGATTAGGGTTTACAAACGTTTCGACAAATACCGCAAACGGTGTTATAAAAACGTTATTTTTCTGTAGTGTTTTTTTTGACAGTCCAAAATACCGCAGAAATAACGATAAAAAACGAAAAAAACGTTTTTTGGGCGGTATATAACGGCTCTGTAAAAAAACGTTTTTAAGAAACACTGAAAAAAATAACGCGTTTTTAAACCCTACCGTTGATGTACTAAATCAGCTGCAGAAATATACACGTTTCATCATCACATAAACCACATGTCAATGCAACACGTTCGAGAAAAAAAAACGATGTGAATGAGCAATAGAGAAAAGAAACGAACGCGATGTAGATGAGTATTGCCAAGAAAGAAAAACATGAAAATTATGAGATGATTTTCTTTTTTTTTTAGTCCGTTGTTTGATACCGAAAATGTATACGTGCATTTTCGCTGAACCGTGATTTGACATGTGATTTATTCGCAATTATTTTAGAATAATCTAATATCGGATTCGAAATATATGTGTTTTTTCTCGTGTGGTTCAATCAAAAGGGAATCATTTGCGTTATGGTTAGCATAATATGGCTGGCCATTTTCACCGAAAACTCTCGACTGTCCAACGGGGGCGACGATCAATGATATGTTTTGGTGCTAATTCAATCGAGTCGAGATTGAATCAATCGTAATTATTAAGAGACTTTTTTTTTGCCAAATTATTACAAAAGAAACGGCAAAATGAAGAAAAAGAGAAAGAAAATTCAAAATATTGAATTTTTTTCTGTATTCTTATTGCGAATGAGAAAAGAAAGAACGAAATTTCAAAAGTAAATGGCACCTCACCTCCAAATGACGGTCGATTTCGGGCCGGAAATGACATTTTGAACCACACGGTATCGAATCACAAAACAACAATTGAAGAAAACACAAACACACACACACACTGTATGGTAACCTTTAGAATAGACATTAAACAAAATGATGCATATTGAATAATTCTCTATCATATTATAACGATTAACTACGATTTAAAGGAATTTTCATTATTTACTATACACATTGCCACATCCGACAACAACAAAAAAACTTACAACACAGTGAATATCGATCCAGTATGACACTGATGATCACAAAGCAAAGTGCACTCACACACTCAGAATGAATAGAACAAAAAATACGAAATAGGACAACAAGAAACTAACAAACTGTTAGTCTACCACACACATACAAAAATCGTAACAAAAATCAGATGCAGTTAAATGTGAAAGCGATCATACTATAAGCTTTCAAATGTGAGCTCGGCAATAGCAATGAAAGAGTTAAGAAATTAGATCGTTTCCAAGAATGAAAGACTATTTAATAGAAAAGAAAGGGAAAAAATACACACAACATATTATCCAATTCCAATGTTCCTTTGTTTCTGTGCTCTCACAACAACAACAAAAACCAACCATTTTCATTATAATTGATTGGAGAAACTGAAATGAAATGAGCAATTCTCATTCGAATCTATGAAAAGATGAATAAAATCGATGATTTATCGAGCAAGCAAATAATTAAAATCAACAAACTCTAGTTTTTAATGACAAATTTAACGAGATTTAAAGAAGAAATACCAAAAAAAAAATGAAAGCCACAAACGTGAACTATTTTCAGACATATGCAAAAGAAGTAGAATGAATGAAACCAAAAAAAGAGGAAACAAAAAATCGTGCTTACAAAACACACACACACACACAGACACAAATATATTATATTTTAATGAGGATATATCATTGAATCAAAGTCAGTTAGGACTCGTACAAATTACACATAATTTTTCTTCTCTATTTTTCTTTTCTCTCTGTTTTATTTAATGAACAAAAAACAAATTCATCTTTCTCCGAAATGGAAAGGAAATCGAAGTAAAACACATTTGATCTAGAGTTTTAGTGATGTAATATAGGACTTGGCCGAAATGCAGCCATCGCATTGCCAATGCAAAAACTCCAGGAAAAACTCACTCTCACACACCCTTGAAGTAATGGCATGAGATATTCCATTCAATTCCACAGTTTCACATGATTTTTTCTTCTTTGAATGAAAACCACCGCAATTAAACGAGAGAACTTTTTCAACGACTACACATTTTTTTTCTCGTTTCGATTAGAATGATCTCTCCAGCACGACGACGATGGAAAAAATCGTTGAATTTCAAATAATAATTGCAGAATTATTTAAAACAAGCAAATTGGTAGGTTTAATAGGCGAATAAATTTTTTTTTGTTGCAAAAGTTATTTAAAAAAAAGAGGGAAATTTTACAATAGCATTTCGATGAGAATACAAAACAATCGGTTCAACAAACGGCATCGATATCGAGAGATAGAGAAAGAGTTCATCTATATAAAGTTTATTAAATTTCACAACAAATCGGATTTTATAAGTAGCTTTATATTGATTATATAATTGTTATACCAAATCAAAAGGATGAAGGAAATCAATGGAAACAAAACAAAAAAATCTTATGTGTTCTCAATGTGTTGACAAACTGCAACGCAGACAAACAAAAAATAACCAAACTAAATATGGTGTTCAACGACAATTTGCATAGAAGCATTCGCGTTTAATTCTCATACACAAACACACACACACACGAAATGAATAATATTTGTTTTCTATTTCTTCTAGGAAATTAATTCGGTTTATTTGTTTTTCATTCACAAAAAAAAACAAAGCTAAAAAGAAGAAAATTCTCTTTTTTATACACGAAATAAGAAGAAATGATAAGAAAAAAAAATGAAACAACTGTATTAAGTAATTTTGAAATGCACTGTATGGGGGATTTCTTTATCGATGTTTATACAATAGACGAGAAGAAGACAAAAACGACGGGAACTTATAAATGCAACACGTACATTTCATTGAGTTCTTTTTTTTAATTTTTCGTTTTTAAATCAAACAAACATTAAAAATAAATCACAAATCACTCTCTCATTCCAATTAAATTGTTTCCCCATTTACACAACGAACGTTAAGACGTCGTGCAATGACGATACATTGAAAGTGTGCAAAATGAGCTATTTGAAGCTTTGAATATGAGTTCTTCATAGCTTTAAATATGAGCTAGTTAAAACTCATACGAGTTTTTCAAAGCTCTGACGCACAAAGAACAGTTCGAATATAGCCGCGAACGTTTGTTTCGAGAGAATTGTTTCGTTGTGTCAATTTTGCATATAGAATTGAATAACACTCACTGGACTTTTTTCTCTCTCATTAATTTAACGATTATCTAAAAAAAAAACCAAACAAAATGTATTTTGTTTCGATTGGACATTCGAATGGGATTTTTGTTTCGAATGGAAAAGCACTCGAAAGAAGTCAATCACACACACACACACAAATCGATAAACGATCCAACTAGTAATTTATAAAGAGGAAGAGGAACGATATATATGCTTTTGGGCTATGAGCTAACACACAAAACCATATTGTTTTTGAAATCGCATGACAACCTTATTATTATGAATTAGCAAGAAAAAAACATATTTTCACTCAAATATTTTGTTCGCATTTTCGGTTTCTTTCTTATGATTATGTTTTTCTCTCTACTTCTTTCGAGATCTGTGTTGTTGATAGTGTCAAAAGACACACCTCTTCTGTCCGAATGGAAATTATACATAGAACCAAAAGAGAGCAAAGACGGATGAAAATAAAATAACGTTTATAATAAAAGACAAATGCTTTTTTTCACATCGAAGAAAATAAACAAAAAAAATGTGGCATTCGCACCGATCGAATCCTAGCCGGAAATTTGTTTTGTCAATTCTTGATGTCATAGATGTTTTTCTATGGTGTAAAATTGTTTCTATGAAAAAACAAATTCTATAATGGCGAGCGACAAATTTGATTTGTCTCCCTCTCGCTCGCTCGCTCGCTCGCTCGCAAAAGTGAAAATTGTGACAATTCCATTTCTACGATGACTGTTTTCCGTTTTTTTTTTAGTTACTGTCTACTAATTCAAAATTGATATAAACACGTGCAACATATAGATCCAATCACAAAAATTGTTGTTTCAATCGTTTTCCCTCATTTTTTATTTATGTTGTAGTCAACGAACAAACGAACGAGTACAAATCAATGAGAAAAAAAATTGACACGAGATTTTTTTCGTTTCACATTTTTCTGTCTCTCACCGAATTTAGCGCGTGTAAACACATTTAAGAGACTATAGATCACATTGACAATGGACTGAACTAACCAAATAAAAAGAGAAAGAGAAAAAAACACTAAATTAGTCGAAATAAGCAAGTGCAGCCAAAGAGGAACATAAAACAACATGTGCCTTAATCAAAAAAAAAAAATGATACAAATATATTACAAAACAAATTAT